ATTTATTTTTTGGTGGTACTGGGGATTGAACCCAAGGCCTTTGCAGTTAGCTATATCCCCAAACCCCTGGCTTCTTCTTTTGAGAAAGTGTTTCACTAAGTTGCCCAGACTGGGCTCAAGCTTGGCATCCTCTTGACTCAACCTCCCAGAGTACTGGGATTATGGGCATGTACCACCACACCCAGCTGCACATGTTTCTTACTTAGATCCCCTTAGGTGGAGGCATATATCTTTCCATTTATTCTAGGATCTCTTCCTCTCTTCTGTTGTGGGCTATGCCCCCATCATCTGTACATGTGGTGGCATGACTAACCCTTGTAGGCTTCTATGATTGGAGCCCCTGCTTTGTATTCAAGTACCAGCACAGCAAGGGGAGAAGGGAAGTCAGAGACCAGAGCAAGTATTTATTGATTTCCTCAGAAAGGAGAGCTGAGCACAACCTGGTTGATCACCTCAGAGACTCAGCATTATGAATTGCCCCTGCAGGGTCATTTTTATATAGCATGAAGTAGCCCTGTACCTGGGCGGGACTAATCTGGGTTGTAGCTTGAAGGACATGTTCTGCAAAGGTCTCAGCCAAGGAAGATGCTTGTCCTGGGTAGAACCTCTGGAACATCTGGGTCAGCTGCCAGTGTGAGCAGTAGCCCACATACTCCTTCATATCCACTCGCCCAGGGCGTATCAGGGCAGGGTCCAGCCTAAGAGGAGAAGTAGTTACAAGCAACAGTCCCAATGGCACCCCCCAAAAAAGATGGTCCCTTTCACCTCCTCGTTCTCCTGAGACAGAGGGACCGGAGTCTTACCTCACTCCTTACCTGTCAACGTGGTTCGTGGTCATAAATACGATGCGTGCCTCAGTGGAAGCCACGCCATCCAGGGCATTGAGCAGCCCACTGAAGGTAAGACGACCTAGACCTTGGTACTTCACAGGGTCTGAAGGAAGACAAAGATGGAGAAGCTGAGTGGTCACAGCACTGCTCAAAATGAACGTACCTACCATGGTCCCCTACTCATCATGGTCCCCTTGCACCGCCAACCCAAGCAGCCTCCATCAACCTTCCAGTTCTTACTTTCTCCCACTATACCTCACTACCCTCATTTAGAACCACTCCCCATCCCCAGCACTTTCACTTACTCTCTGTAGCTAAGTCTCGGCTGAGAAAAGCAGCATCCACATCTTCCAGGAGCACCAGACTCTGCTGTGGGGCCACACTCAGCAGGTGGTTGAGCCGGTCATCAGATAGGCTGGAGTCTGTGAGACTCAGCAGGCAGATGCTGTGTTCCAGTTCTCCAGCCAGGGCTGTGCTGTGGACCATGGTATGGCAGGAAGTAACCTGGGGACTCTTCCTTGGGCCCAGCTGCTTTTTGTCCCAGGCCTGGGAGGTGTATCTCAGAGGCCTGGCTCTCCCACAGCCTACCCAATCAGTGTTCTACATGTCCCATGTTTATCTTGGTTCATGGCCCAATATTCATTTCCCTCTCCAACCCATTAGCTCACTTTCACCACAAAGGCTGAGTTTCACAGTTAAGAGAAATTTTGACTACTCACATAAAACTGCTCTTTCCACAACCAGGGGGCCCATAAAGCAGATAGCCACGTCTGTAGGGAATGCCTAGGGATACAGCCAGGAAAAACAAGACCTAACGTGTATCATTACTGTGCCCCAGGTGTCCACATTCATCCCCAGCCTTGTCCCATACTGGCCTGGTGATTTCTGAAATCATCTACATAGGCAACTTTTCTTTCCCCTTCACCTCTGGGAATTGGGCCAAAGATCACCCCCTTTGCTGAAATAATATAGTCAAAAGCAGCCTAGCCCAGACCCTAGCTGTTTCTCACCTCTGTCAGTGTACCATTTAGGGTTATCAATGAATTCCCGGATGTCTTTAATAATTCGATCAGCCAGACCCTGCTGTAGAACCACAGAACTCAGGGGCCGGCGGCGGCGTGGATAGCCAAAGGTGCGCCATTCGGAGCCCACAGCTGTGTACATCACTGTCTTCCCTTCCTCCTGTTGCAAGGCTAGCTCTCGAGCTGGGAGGGGAGAGATGAGACAAAGCTAATAATTCATTCTCCTTACCACTGTTGATTCTTCACCAAAATGGCCTCTTCCCGGTCTCCTGCTTTCATGGGCTCCAATCCCCTTATTTCTCCTCTCCAAACTGCCCTTCCTCTGATATCCAATGTCTCCATCCCTGTATTCGCCCTATAAAGCTTTCCTGTGCCATCCCACACCTTCCTCCAAGATGTTGAAGAAAACCTTGCGGTCAGTGCCCAGGGCTGTGAAGGTGACAGATTCCCAAGGAGTGCCCGTCTGCAAGTCTATCATCTGCATCTCTCGGCTTCGTTCTACCCGGATCCATTTCCCCTGATACCTGAATAAGAATGGTCAAACGGATAAGTGAAGGAGAATGTGTCCAACCCAGCTCTCTCCGTTCTCCTTTTCTGCTCTCAGAGCCCTCCTTGGCTCCCAACCTTACCAGATGAAGTGGTTCCCAGGGCTAGGAACAAACTCAAACTTGGTGGAGATGCGGCCACTCTCATGCTGAAGGTATGAAGTCTCGACACTGAGGTGCTGAGTACGGGAACTGTGTCGGGTGAGCCAGCTAAGCAACCAAGCATAGCTCCTGTCTCGAGCAGGTACTTCCAGTGTAATCATGTAATGGCGCCGAAACGCCACCAGTCCCAGTTGGGCGCCCTTCCGGGCCAGGGCTAAGACTGTGCCCACACCCACTAGCCCAAATCCAGCCCCAAAGTAGGGATTGTCCTTTAGGGCTAGAACAAAGTCTGAAAGTGGCATCTTGAATGGGAAACACCAAAGCTTACAGGCTGTGAGGCATTATCAAAACCTAGGGGTAATGAGCAGTGGAGATGAGACAAAGCACAAGTTTAGTTTAGACACTGGATCCCACATATGTCCCTAGCCCTGTCCCACTCCCTCCTGCAGAAGCAGGAAGGTCAGCACTACTCTGCTTTAATATTCTCCTCCTGTGAGGTAGGGTTCCTGCTGGAATACAAGGGCCAACATTTCAGGCCCTTCATCCCATTTTGTTCTTCATCAGCCTACTCATACCTGTTTCCTACCAGAGGATCATGTCTGAAGATTCCTGAAACCCAAGAGAGCAATGTAACCAGCTTCACATCAGGATAATAGATGGACAGAATTTGTGTGGACCTTGAGACCAGGTGAGATAGTAAAAGGCCTACTGGCTGGAGTTAGCAGGATGGTTCTTCTCTTGACCTGTAGGTGACCATGTGCCCTTCAAATATCCTGTCCCTTACCCAATTCCTACTGTCCTGTTTACAGTAAGTTACCCAACTTATGAACATTCCAGTTGCAAACTTTCATACACATGAACAGACCTTGCATTAGGAACATTCATAGATGGGAACAAATCCTAGGAGTACCTCACATGTCTGCTGGACATCGTCACAGCTGTCCTGCTGTGTGCTCACTGTTCATTGTACAGTGCGATTGTGTACATTAGTACAGTGTTCATTCAGAGCCCAGGATGTTCAGAAGCAAGAGGAAAAGCAGTGGTGATGTGGAGGGGACTGCTGAGAAGTGCAAAGCAATACACATTGTATATCTGTGTCAAAGGTGTGTAAGACTTACTTTGTTGGACTTACAAAAGAATCCGACTAATGAATGTTCTCTGGGAACAACTTATTCGTAAATCGGGGACTTACTGTAGTTCTTTATTACCTCCCACCTCAATTGTCTCTTTAAATTTTAATTATTGACATGGCATTTTAATCGGTCTTCAGCTCTTGCATCACTAAACAGCTATACCGAGATCTAAAGTTTGCTTCATTAGGATCAGCTTCAATTAACTTATCATTCTCCTTTCTCCAATGCCTTCAATGGGTGGCTCCCAACAGACCCTAAAGTGTATACAAACTCTTCAGCCTGATACTCGAAGGCCTCCACAATAAGGCACCCATCTGTTTTTCATGGCTTAGCTCCTAATAATGCCCCCCACTGCCAAATATGCAAAACACCTCCCCCCTCCTTGTTCCTGCAATTCTCTTGGCTCGGAATGTCCGCTCTTTATTCTTTGCATTCTTTCCATTCTCTCCATCTATTTCCTCCACACAGCCTTTCCTAAATTCAACCCCCAAAGGGGGTCCAGCTGTAACAAAAACACCTGGAGAAATGGGAGCCAAACTGATTCTAGCACAACACTCTTCCGACTGCTCACCTCAGCCACCCACGCCATTCCGCCCGGCACCTGGCACGAAGGGCAGTGAATTGACAGCAGTGACCTCGGCTGAGGTTCAGCGAGCTGGAATCCAGAATTCCAAAACACCTATGCATGGAAGGCTACAGACAAAGCTCTTCTCTTCCCCAGTCCTTGATCGACACCCAGAAGCCCCCTTAAGAAATCCCTCCATACAGTGGCTCAAGCCTCCAAGAACGTGGTTTCGAGTACTTCGTCACCCCGCCCCCTACCGCCAAGGCTCTCTGGCCCTCCGACTCGTTGGTTTCACCCCTCGGCCCGGAGGGAAGCTCCGCTCGTCCCCGCCCCCTAAATGTTTCAGCTACTTCCCGCCACGCCCACCACGAAGGCCATGCCACTCTGCCCCACAACTCTCAATGGTCCTCGTTAAGCTTCAGGGTTGGTAGGCAGAAGGACGACTGAGAGGTGAAAAAAACGTAGAATACCTATCGGCCGACTGGGGAAGTGTGGCCTCGAGGTATATGCCGGATGTTCTAGTGGCGGATGGGCCGAGGGCGGTCGCACAAAAGGAGCCCTGGGAGGCCGCTCCAGCTGCTGTCGACCATAGAGATGCAGCTCCGGCTGGCCCTGACTCCTGAGGTGAGTGAGCGGCCGCGGGGCGTGAACTGGGAGGTGGAGCGAGCTGGAGGCAAAAGTTACTGGAGCCCCAGGATAAGGTTGGGCCTGGGCGGCGGGAACACGCCTACGAGCGAGGCCCCGCGCCTCTCAGCGGCCCCCTGAACCTCATCCGCGTCACCACGTTGGACCCCGCCCGGGTCCCGGCTTCCTCTCCTCAGGACCGTAATCATGACGATGCACTCCTCCCCCAGGCTTGCAGGCTACTAAATTCCTGTCCTGTTCGCTGGCTCTCGTGATCCAGCCCGACTACATGGACGCTGTCATCGCCTCCACTTTACAGATAGGAAAGCTGAGGCCCAGACAAGTGTGGCGACCGCGTCTGCGGGAGGCCACGCGGTGAGTCAGAGCACAGAAGCAGTGAGAACCCAGGAGCTGGGGTCGTTGTTTCCCAGGCCTTTCCTCTCCCTTACTTTATCCTTCCTCTTCCTTATTGCCTCTGCCTCTAAGATAGACTTATTTCTTCCCTTGTGCCCACTCTGCTCCTACCTCAGCAGCCTTCCCGAAGCTGCAGGTTCTCATTCTGCACGGCGCTGGAAGATTCCCCAGAGCAGCGATAACAGGCAGTAAGTGGAGGCTGCGGCAGTACACTTCCCTGCCTCCTGAATCCTGTAATCCGCTGTTTTTGGTGTTGGATGGTTTTTGTGTTGGATTTTTGTTGGTTTGGTTTGGTTTTTGAGACAGAGTCTTGCTATGTATATAGTTCAGGCTGGCCTTGAACTGACCGTGTAGCCCAGGCCGGCTTCAAACTCTGGCAGTCCTCCTGCCTCAGCCTCTTGAGTACTGGGATTACAGACATGCACCACCAAGACGCCTGACTGATCTACTGTTTTGAATAGAAAGATTCTGGAGAATACAGAATATTAGTTCTCACCTGCAGTCTCTGTGATTCAATTCATGAAGTGATTATTGTTAAATTCATTGCAAAAATTACTGTTTTTTAAATAAATGAAGGCTATTTTATTACTTCAAGCGTTAATGATAAAAAAATTTTCAGCACAGCTGTTCCATTTTTAAAAAGTGAAAGTACATACTGTATTTCTAGCTCAATAAACAGGTGAACCTGATGTCTTTGAATGATATAACAAAAATTATTTAGTTTAAACGCATTTTAGCCATATATAATAGCTGGGCATGCAGTTTAATTGTCATTTGTTTCTCACTTGTGTTCCAGTTTGAGGCCTTCCTTAGTTAACAGCTTTGAGATTTCTCTAGATGTGACAATTTATGTATGAGGAACTGTGTATCAATTGGTTGTACCTTGTACCTTGGTGCAAGATACCTGGCATTACCCTGATGCAGCTCCATGTTTACTAATACTTCACTGGAATTCCTTTGTGTTCATGAAAGTGATAATGTCAGGTAAATGTTACTCAAAAAGCTCCACATCTAGGAGGGAGACTAATAGGTAAACAATAGTTCAGTTAAACACACTGGGGCTGGTGCTGTGGTACAGAATGCCACCAGGACCCTGGAAAAGAGAAGGTTGAGTGTTAGGAATCCTTCATAGTGGAAATGACATTTGTGTAGCTACTTATAGTTAGGGTTTGGTTGCCAGAGGAGAGAGTGAGAAGGGGGAAAGGCACATTAAGCCACAAGAGCCAAAAGGGAGTGAGTGTGTGCAATTAAAGGAGAATGTGAGTGAGATGGCAAATCATCTGGTTCTGAGATCTGTTGAGGGGAGAGATGAAGATATGTCTGGAAAGCTCAGTGGGAGCCAGGTGGCAATGGAATGGTTTATACCAATACTAAGGGAGTAGGGAGATCACCAAGTAGTAAAGGGGCCTTCAAGATCCTTTGACCCTGCCAAATTTTGTTGCAGATAAGAAAATTGAAAGGCCTGGTGTGGTAGACTCACAAGGCTGAGGCAGGAGGATTGAGGCCATGAGTTCAAGCCCAGCCTGAACTACATAGTAAGACCCTGCCTCAAAAAATAAAACAAAAAAAAGGAAAATTGAGACTCTGCTTATTTATGCTTTGACCAAGGCAAAGAAATAACCTATAATCTTTAATGTGTGGGCCAGAAATTATTGGCTCTCTCCTAATATTAACCCTTTTTAAAATTTATTCTCTTTGTTCTGAACATTCTGCCATGCAAGGAAATGTCTTAAGTGGGTAGGCACTGAGCTATGTGTCTGTACTAACCATGTTTTGGGGGTTTTTTTGTTTTTCTTTTTCCATATTTTCGTTTTATTCTGCTTGGGTTGTCAGCATTTAAGAAGCCACAGCACAAGAGTCAATGGTGATGGCAGACGCCGTATTGGACTCACAACCAGTCAACAGCACTGGGGAGATGGATGGACTGTGCCCTGAGCTATTGTTGATCCCTCCAGCTCTCTCTAACCGTGGGATCCTGGGGCCCATCCCAAGTACCTGTCCTGGGGACACTGAGCCAGGCTGCCTGCTGGTAGAGGCCACAGCTACTGAAGAAAGCCCAGGAAACATGGAGATCATTGTGGAAACAGTACCTGGGACCCTAGCCCCAGGAGCTCCTGGAGAGAGCCCAGGTATGTACTTTACTAGCAGGCCAGTGGGACAAGCAGCCCTGAGGTTTTTTTGTGTGCTATTTTTGATCCTTCTGTGTGAGTGTGATGAGAACACAAGGTAGCATGCTATTTTTATACTTTGAGATGTAATTGGGTTTGCAGTTGGTGTATGTTGATGGAAGACTGGCATAGTAGTGCATAACCTTGTACCATGCATTTGGCAAAGCCTGTCCTACAAGGGCTTTATGACTGCTAGGCACCAATCCAGAAAAGTAGACCTTCTGACACATCTGCCCAACTCTGGCTTTTCCTTAGTCTTATAATCCTTGGGGAGTCTTTCCCTCATATTGACCCTACCACCAAGGAATAGCAGCCAGGGGCTGCCCAGCCTGACTGTACCACCTGGGGCTTGGCAGAGCTTTCCAGAGGTAATTGATCTTTCCTTGCTCTACTTTCCTGTGTATTTCACTCATCCAAAGCATGCTGTTAGGAAGAGTTGAGCATTTATATTTATATTAGTAGAAAGAATCTACCCTTTTACTTCCTGTAACTTCTTTTTAGGAAACTTCCTGGTTTTTTGACTGCCATCCTCCAGCTACTCTTGTCACTACTTCCTCTGACAGTGTAGTATGGTGACATTTTGGGGAAAAATTAGCTAATTCAACCACGTAATATTTTTAAACTAATGTGTGATGAAAGGGAGGAAAAAGCTTGGGAAAACATTTTTAACCACTTAACCGTTTAACCTAAGTGTCATTCGGGCACTGTGTATGTTTACATACTGACTATTCTGAGTGTTGCTCAGATAGGTGTCATTTCAACCAGTCGAATCTTGTATTGAATAAATTTGATAAAATTATCATTTTGTACTTCCTGTTATCTTAGAAAAATTAAGGGAAAAAATATGCAATTTTGGTCAACTTGTATTTAAATAATGGGCTAGTAAGTGGTTAATATATAAGAAAGAGTTGATATCCTTAAAATTCAGAGCTCCACAATAAGAAAAACAAACTTTTGGGGGGTTTTTGGGTTGTTTTTTGTTTTGAGACAGGGTCTCACTGTGTAGTTCAGGCTGGCTTGAACTTGCAGCAATCTTTCTGCCTTGGCCTCCCAAGTGCTGGGATTACAGGCATGTACCACCATGCTTGCCTGAAAAATAAACGTTTAAAAAAAAAAATTTTTTTTTTTTTTTGGTTTTTTGAGACAAGGTCTGGCTATGTATTTCAGGCTAGCCTTGAACTCACTGTGTAGCTCAAGCTGGCCTCAAATCTCAGCAGTTCTCCTGCTTCAGCCTCCCAAGTACTGAGATTACAGACATACACCACACTCAGCTAGTTATTATTTTAAGGGGGGCGGGGTTACATGTAATTCACTAAAAAATAAATATAGTCAATAACCATATGGAAGTTTACTTAATCTCACAAAAATAAATTCCAGTTAAAAATAACCATGTAATACAATTTTTGTTTCTCAGCTTTGGCAAAAATTAAATACTTAAAAAATAATACCCAGTGTCGGAGAGCCTGTGAGGAAATATGCTCTCTTACAGTTTATGAACAACATATAATAACTGGTGGCACATGCTTGTAATCCCAGCACTCAGGAGGCTGAGGCAGGAGGATCACTATGAGTTCCAGGCCATCCAGGACTGCATACGGAGTTCAAGGCCAGCCAGAACTACATAGCAAGACCCTGTCTCAAAAAACCAAAAAAAAAAAAAAAGAAAAAAGTCAGTTTAACTGCATAGCCAGTTTTACAGTGTATGTACTCTGACCCAGCAATTCCACTCTAGGGATCTGTCTTACAGAAAAACACATGGTGGGCCAGGGATTTAGCTCAGTGGTGCTGCACCTGCCTGGCAAACATAAGGTCCTGAGTTCAATTTCTGGTATTGGGGAGGGCTGAAAGACATGGACACAGAGATGGGGATGTGTAGGGCAGTTTTATTTGTAATGGTTGGAAACATCTCAACTGTCCATCAGTTAGGTCAGAATTTCATTTTAATTTACTGGGTTTTTTGGTTTTTTTGGTACTGGGGATCAAACTCGGGACCTTGCACTTTCGAGGCAGGCAGGGGCACCACTGAGCTAAACCCCCAGCCCTTTATTTTGTTTTTTAAAACAAGTTCTTGCTTTGTAGTTCAGGCTGGCCTTGAACTTGTGGCAGTCCTGCTGCAGCCTCCTGAGTGCTGGGATTATAGGTGTGTGCCACCACACCTGGCCCATTTTGATTTTAATGTTCTGAAATACTATGAACTGAACAAAAAATTATGAAGTTTACCTCTGTACTCGTAGATAAAAATATCTTTGATATACTGCAAGTGGAAAAGAGAAAAAAAACAAATTGCAGAACAGTGATCCAAAAAAGGCCTGAAAGAAGCCAGATGCAATGGCACTTGCCTATAATCCCAGCTACTCAGGAGGCTGAAGCAAGAGGATTATTTGAGCCCAGGAGCTCAGGGCCTTCTGGACAACACATAACAATTCCCTTGTTCCAAAAAGAAAAAGAGAAAAAGAAGCCTGCAAGGGTATAGACCAGACTTTTTGTGTGAGGGTGGCACTATATACTTCTGTATCATTTGAATTGTTGCACTGAACTTTTGTAAAAATTTTTTTTAAAAAATAGAGAAAAGAGGCCCGCAGAATAAAAGAGAAACCAGTACCACATGATAGCCTTAATGTGGAATCTCAGGTCCGTCTTCTCATAGGGCAGTCCGAGGACCAAAAGACACATTATCAGGGCCCTGCTCATTGCTTTTATCATTTTTTGTTTTTTGTTTTGTTATTTGGGTGTTTTGTTTTGTTTTGAGACAAGGTCTCACTTTGTAGTTCAGGCTGGCCCTGACTCACTACCCCAGGCTGGCCTCAAACTTGCAGCGATCCTCCTGCCTCAGCCTCCCCAAGTGCTGGGATTACAGGTGTGTGCCACCATGCCCGGCTCTGTTTTTTGGGTGTTTTTTGAGACAGGTTCTCACTATGTAGTTCATACTGGCCTTGAACTCACTATGTAGTCCAGGCTGGCCTTGAACTCAAAGCAGTCCTCCTGCCTCAGCCTCCCAAGTGCTGCAGTTACATCTGTGTGCCACCATGCCCAGCTTCTCATTGCTTTTAAAATGTTAGCAGCTATTACAGACATGACTCAACTCTCAGAAGGATTTCTCCATTATGAACTCTCATGTCTCTGAAAAGCTTTTTTTATAGAATTTGAAAATGACACTTTTCTTTTGAGGGGGTCACTGGGGGATGAATCTAGGGGCTCACCACTTAGCTACATTCCTAGCCTTTTATTATTTTTTATTTTGAGACAACATCTCACTAGGTTGCCCAGGTTGGGCTTGAAATTGTGATGCTCCTGTCTTAGCCTCCCAAAGTACTGGGATACAGGTTTGTGTTACTGTATCTAGCTACATTTTATGTTGCAGATATTCTTCGTAGTATGTCACTGTCTTCTTTTGGAAGTTTCTAATTTTTATTTCAGCAAAATATATTGTCTTTTCTAAAACTTTCTGAATTTTATTAACAATTGTTCATTCATGAAACACCCAGCTTATGCTAGATATTTTACTAGACACTAGGAATCCAAATAAAAGTGCCAGACCGTCCCTGACCTATGGGCTTACAGTCTAGGTGCAGAGCTGGATTTGAAGTCCATCTGCACTCCTTGAATGGGAAAAGACTCACCTGCATTTCTGCTAGTAACTAGCTCCTAGGGTCTCCTTCTATCTGATTCTCTGCCTTTCTTCGGTCCTCTGCCTGCAGGTGTCCTGGTAAAGGTGGTGGAGGTGTACTTCTGTGAGCGCTGTGAACAGAGCTTTGCAGAGCCCACTCTGCTGTCCGTGCACCAGTGCACTGAGACCCATATACAGCCTGTGCAGGGCCTCTCTAGCACCCCGTGCTCTGTAGAGCTGCCCATCAGCAACCTCACCCTCCATGGCCCTCTGCAGGGCAAGAGCCCAGCAGATAGCCCCCTGCCATGTCCTGTATGTAGACAGGAGTTTGCCCAACCGCAGGCCCTGAAGAGCCACTTCAAGAGTCACCGAGCCACTCCTGACACCTTCTCCTGCCCAGAGTCTGGCTGTGTGTTCTCTGCTGAAGATCGTAAGGGTCTGCAGCACCACCTGAGGCAGACCCATGGAGCAGTTCCTGTGCCGTGTTCTTTCCGGGGCTGCCCCCTGCTTTTTGGGAGCCACCAGGGGATGGAGTTGCACCGGCAGGCCCATTACCCATTCCACTGCACCCATTGCAGCTTCATGGGCTCCAACATCAAACTCTTCCGGCAGCATCAGCGAAACCATGGGGCTGGGACACAGGGAGAACTTTCTGCCGTCCAGGGACTTCTGTCCCAGGAGCTACTGCCAGGTATGAGGCCCGGAACCCAGTCCCCTACCTGGGATATAGCCATAGTTGATCTTATGGGAGAGACATTTGTTTCCAGTACCATGAATGTACATGAATATTTGGAAATCTTGAGAGTAGTTAGGACAAAATTACTGGATGGCATGAGAAGTCATCTGGAAACCTTAAACCAGTCAGAACATATGAGACAAAGAGTAAGTCTTTGTCCATGATGTTGAGTGAAATGTGACTTAGATTATGTGTGGCCTGCAGTTACTTAAGCAACATTCTCTACTGATCCATTTTAAGACTTGACTTTATGAGGGCAGATGTGAAAGTGCCCACTAGTGGGTGGTAGATAGAATGCCTTAGACTTCCTCTAGAGCAAGTGGGATGGGGCAGGAGAAGCTGGGATTATTTTAAAAGGAAACCTTCCAGGGAGGTGGTGCTTTATTGATTCTTACTCCTCTTGGTCTCAGAACAACAACAAAAACCCCAGCAAGGGGTGAGTGGAAGAGCAGGAGGAATGAAGAAGACAGCATTGTGATGAGAACTTGGCTTGCTGAGACCCACTTGATCTCTTAATTCCTAAAGGGAAGATCTTTTTCCTGGGAACTAGTCATACCTCTTTGCTTTACTGAGGCAGCTGTTGGGAGATAAAAGAGATAGATTTAAGGGGTAAGGTGCGATGCTGGCTTTCTGAGTTGGGCTTCTCAATAGAACAGTTGAGTGATCAGAGCATGTTCACCTGCACTGAGCGAGCCCAGTCATTGGCCCCTGAGCCAACAAAGTGCAGTCTACCTTTCTGTACCTCTCAGCCCTACCCCTGTCCCAGTAACCTCAAAGCTGTCACCTTAAGGGGGCTCTGGCTGGTGATTTCTGAAGTTTGATTTACTTTAAATTGGATTATTACTGATAGTTTAGCTCCTTTCTTGAGTGGGAATACATTTATTTACTTAAGACCCAAGATACCCTACTGCTAAAAGAGGAGGAGGGTGATTCTACTAGCCAGTAAGTAGAAAAGTTCAAGCCGTCAGTGTTGTCAATGGGGTGTCATGAACTTCATCATGTTTTATGTATCTCCAGCTCCCAAACTGCCTCCAGCAGAGGTAGACCCTTCACAGGAAGCTGGTCCACCTTTGCCTGGGCAGGAGTCAGCTGAGGAGGAGGATGTAGAAGAAGAGGAGACTGGCACACAGAAGAACCCTCAGAAAGCCTTGGATAAAGGCCAGCAGGCTGGACAGTTGGAAGGTAATGACATTATTAGGCAGTGGGGAGAGGTGGACAGCAGAGAGCCTGGCATTGAAGCTCTTGGGTCTGGTTTTCTGAGCTTTGATTCAGATTCTTCCTTTCTTTCTGTTCTACCTTGACTCAAAGTCAAGGTCTGCTAAGTGTGATGACATATGCCTGTAGTCCTAGTTACTCAGGAGGCTGAAGCAGGAGGATCACTTAAGCAGAAGAGTTCAAGAACAGCCTGGGCTAACAAGACCCTGTCTCAAAAATAAATAAAGTTAGCTGTATGTGGTGGCACATGCCTGTAATACCAGCATTCTGGGAGGCTGAAGCAGGAAGATCACAAGTTTGAGCCCAGCCCAGGCAACTTATCAAAACCTTGTCTCAAAATTTTAAAAAAATTTAAAAAGAACTAAGGATGTAGCTCAGTGCAGTTGCCCTAGGTTCAATCCTCCCCCGGCCCCGTACTACCAAAAAAGAAAAAAAAAAAGGTCAAGATTTGGTGAGTACTGTAATTGCAGCACTCAGGAGGCTGAGGCAGAAGGATTGCCACAATTTTTGTTTCTGGTTTTGGTTTTGGTTTTTTTTGGTACCAGGGATCAAACTTGGGTCCTTGGGATTGCCACAATTTTGAGGCCAGCCTGGGATCTATAATTCAAGACCAGCCTGGACTACACAGTGAAACCCTGTCTCAGAAAAACTAAAAAAAAAAAAAAAAAAGATTTGTTGAGTCAAGATGCTGATCACACAGGGTTGGGGTAGTTTTCTCTTCTGGACTTTTTTTTCATGGCAGAATGCTCTTTTGCAGGGAAGGAGGGGTGTTGTTCATAGCACTAAGATGCTAGAAGTTAATGATCAGCATTCTGATTTGCTAGCATTAAGCCTGCTAGGATTTTTTTTCTGAATCTTTGCTTCTCAGGTCTGAACCCATCCCCAAAAAGCATATTCACTGTCACGTGAATGGGTAAGATTTGATTGTACTTATTACCAGCTCTATTACCTAGAGCTCAGTGAGCCAATTTTTTTTTTTTTTTGGTACTAGGGATTGAACCCGGGTCCTTGCACTTTTGAGGCAGGCGGTGGAACCACTGAGCTAAATCCCCAGCCCTAGATTGTTCTCTTGAGCAGCTCCAAATAGAGGTTCAGAAACAGTGGGTGACTGGGGGAGCACTTCAAACAGGCCACAGCAAAGTCTCAGAAGTCTTTGTGGTTTGGTTTCTCTTAACACTTGAGTTACTCTTCTCTTCCTTGAGACTACAGTTTTAAGACTATTGTTTGGTTTCTTTGAGAGAAAAGCCACACAGTGTTTGTATCTGGCCAGATTGTATCTCTTCCATCATTTGACCTGCCCCTTACCTATGGAAGAATCTCACTGCTAACCCCCTGGATTCCCTTTCCCCAGATTTGGCTTCTGGCTCTGAATCTCTCTTCAAGACACACATGTGCTCCGAGTGTAAGCGCTGCTTTAAGAAGCGGACCCATCTAGTGGAACACCTGCATCTCCACTTCCCAGATCCCAGCCTCCAGTGCCCCAACTGCCAGAAGTTCTTCACCAGCAAGAGCAAACTGAAGACCCATCTATTGCGGGAGCTGGGTGAGAAAGCCCACCGTTGCCCACTGTGCCACTATAGTGCAGTGGAGAAGAACGCACTCAATCGCCACATGGCCAGCATGCACGAGGATATTTCCAACTTTTACTCAGACACTTATGTCTGTCCTGTCTGCCGTGAGGAATTCCGCCTCAGCCAGGCACTCAAGGAGCACCTCAAGAGCCACACAGCAGCAGCTGCAGCAGAGCCATCTCCACTACCTTGCTTTCAGGAGGGCTGCAGCTACACAGCCCCCGATCGAAAGGTGTTTGTAAAGCACTTGAAGGAGACCCATGGGGTGCGGGCTGTAGAGTGCCGTCACCACTCTTGTCCCATGCTCTTTGCCACAGCCGAAGCCATGGAGGTGCACCACAAGAGCCACTATGCCTTCCACTGCCCTCACTGTGACTTTGCCTGCTCCAACAAGCACTTGTTCCGCAAACACAAGAAGCAAGGCCACCCAGGCAGTGAAGAGCTGCGCTGCACCTTCTGCCCCTTTGCCACTTTCAACCCAGTTGCCTACCAGGACCATGTAGGCAAGATGCATGCTCATGAGAAGATCCACCAGTGCCCTGAATGCAGCTTTGCCACTGCCCACAAGAGGGTGCTCATCCGACACATGCTGCTGCATACTGGTGAGATGGCTTCCATCCTTATGATAATGTAGTAACCACAGTACCGATAATGGCTAACACGAGCCAACATGCATCTACTAGACATCAGATGAAGGGCCTCACATACATTAATTCCTGGACACAGATCTAGCATCCTGTGTTTACAAATGAGCCATAGGTTGAATGTCATTCCCTTAATAAAGTGGTCAAGTTAGGATCTAAACCCATGTAATAGTACTCCAGAGCCTGTACTCTAAGTGATATGCTGTTGTACCTCACGGTTAAGCCCCTGTCCAGTTCTGCCCACCCATAGTCAGGTGGGTGGTTGAATATCTTACCTGTTAAGAATAAAGAAACCCAGATAAGGACAGATACCTTTCCTTTTTTTTGTACCAGGGATCGAACTCAGTACCTTGCACTTGTGAGGCAGGTGGCAGAACCACTGAGCTAAATCCCCAGCCCGACAGATACCTTTCTTTACAATTCAGGTGTGGGGATGTGCTTTGAGAGACAGGATGTGAGAGGACTGAGACATGCATGTATTTATGGCTATCCATGGCTGGGTATCCATGGCACTGAAACAAGATCCAGTGACCTACAAATTGCACTCATTTCACCTCAGACTTTCTTTGTTTGGTGCTAGGGATTGGCCCGCAGCTTTGTGCATGCTAAGACAAACACTGTACCACTAAGCTTCAGCTTCGGGCCTTTATTCTTGTTTTTTTTTTTTTTTTTTTATTCATTAAATTTATTGGTACATTTTAGGTATACAATATGATGACATTCAGCATTGGGAATTTGTACTTTTACATGATATATCTTGCCTCTTACTTTTTTTCCCCATTCCCCTGCCCTCCCCTCAACCCCTCCACTCCTCCCTATTTACAAAGATTTTGTTTCCATTTATTCTTTTTCTCATATTTTTTCCTTTCCCTTCTCTCCTTTCCCCTACCCCATTCACTTCTCCTTCCCCTTCCCCTTTGGACCTTTTCTTCCTATTTCACAATATCTATTATACATTTTGATCCTCATTTACACGTTCAGTTTCTCACACCAGAGAAACTATTCAGTATTTACACACATGTGTGTCCTGTTTATTTCACTTAAGAGTATGATCTCAGTATGCATCCATTTAGTTATGAATGTCTCTAGTTTCTCATTATTTATGGCTGAGTAACACTCCATTTTATTAAAAAACCATGTCTTTGTCCAATCATCAGTTGATGGGCATTTGGGCTGTTTTTCAAGATCTAGCTATTACAGACTGTGCTGCTATAAGCATGGGTGCACATATGTCACTGTGGTATGATGCTTTTAATTCTTTTGGGAAGATACCCAGCAGGGGAATAGCTGGGTCAAATGGGACCTCTAATCCTAGTTCTTTGAGGTATCTCCATACTGATTTCCATAATGGTTGCACCAGTCTACACTCCCACCAACAGTGGAGAAGGGTTCCTTTTTTTCCCACAACCCCACCAGCATTTGTTGTTGGTTGATTTCTTAGTAGCAGCCATTCTTTCTGGGGTGAGGTGGAATCTCAGTGTTGTTTTCATTTGTATCTCTCAGATGACCAGTGATGATGAACATTTCTTCATGTTTATTTGCTGTTTCTACTCCTTTGTCTGAGAAATGTCTGTTCATTTCAGATGCCCATTTTTGGATTGGGTCTTTAAATTTGGGAGGTCAGATTTTTTAGGTTCTTTATATATTCTGGATAGTAGACCTTTGTCTGAGGGATATATGGTAAAAAAATTTTCCCCACATTGTGGATTGTCTCTTCGTGCTGTTGGTGGTTTCTTTTCCTGTGCAGCAACTTTTTAATAGAATGAGATCCCAGTTGTTGATCCTTTGTGCTGCTAGTTCACATGTGACAGGTTTTTGTTCATGAAGTCTTTTCCTTCACCAATGTCTTCAAGAGTTCTACCTAACCTCTGTTTCAGCAGGTTTAGTGTTTCTCTTTTATTTAGATCTTTGATCCATTTGAATTTTAGTTTAGTACATGGTGATTTTTTTTCTTTTTTTGAGACAGGGTCTTACTAAGTTTCCCAGGCTGGCTTCAAGCTTTTGATCCTCCTGCCTCAGCCTCAGGAGTAGCAGGATTGTATCCATGTGCCATCATGCTTCAGATTTTTTTTTTTTTTTTTTGGTACTGGGGATCAAACTCAGGACCTTGTGCTTGTCAGGCAAGCACAGCGCCACTAAGCTACACCTCCAGCCCATGTTTCAGATACTTTTTTTCTCTCCAGGGATCGAACTCAGGACCTTGTGCTTGTGAGGCAGGTGCCAGAACCACTGAGCTAAATCCCCAGCCCTCAGATTCTTCATTGGTTGTCAACATCACTGAGGTTTTAGATAACAACAAAATCAGACTTCCTGTATAGCATCATCCTCTTTGTGATCTACATAAATATCAGTGGATTGACAGGACAGTAAAAAATTTCCATCAGAACTCATTTGGGATAACAACTTCTAGACAGTTTTGGGCAAAACCCTTGTTCCTGATGAACTATTCATTTTTGTGCGTGATTTAGTCAGAGTCTCATTTTCTGAGGCCTTTCCTAATACCTTAATACTTTGTGTCTATATAATTATACAGTTTAATAATCCATGACAGTCTTATAAGGCTGGGAAAAACAAGAAATAAACTCTGATAAGTTAAATTTAGACCTACTTTAAGATCACACAGCTAATCAGAACTTGAGTACCATGTTGCTTGCTTTTTACCACAGGCTGGGTGGGTAGGGAGGGGTCCTGAAGGAACATGGCCCCAGCTTTTTAGAGCCAGGGTATTTTTTGTTGTTTGGTTGTTTTGTTTTGTTTTATTTCATTTTGTGGTACTGGGGATTGAATCTAGGGCCTTTCACTGAGCTATATCCTCAGCCCTTTTAAAACTTTTTATTTAGAGATAGGGTCTCACTGAGTTGTCCAGGCTGGTCTCAAACTTGCAGTCTTCCTGCCACAGCCTCCTAGAGTTAGTGCCAAGTCTTGACAACTAGTTGGACAACTCATCATTGAGTTTGTACTGGGCATCACTGACAACTTTAGGGTATCTGATTTAATATTCATACCAACAATGTGAGGTTAGTATTTTTCTTGTGCCCTTTTTGGAGACAAATTAGACTGCCCAAAGCCAACACGTATGAGCCACCACTCCATCAATTTCTCTGTGCCTCAGTTTTCTTATCTATAAAATGAGGGTGATGATAGTACCTGCTTCATGGGAGTAAAAGGAGGCATTTTTATAAACTACTCAGAAAGGTGTCAGCACATAGTGAGCATTACATACATAAATATTGTCAGTTCTTACTACTATAATAGAATCCAGAGTCAAAGTTCTTAACCAACATGTTTGGTTGCCTAATTTCTCTCTGTTCCAGCAAATTGGAAAAAATTGGGCTAAATTGAGCAGCTGACCATTAGAGCCAACAAGCTGCATAACAAATCAAGAGTGTACTTTGGAGCCAGTTTTGAAAAGCTCAGTGATTACTTTTCTCCTCTTTATTGGTGTAGCAGGGTGGGGGCGGGCATGATTTACCTGAGAGGGCTATAAAGAGCTTTATTGGGCAGTTTTCCACATCTCAGCCCATAAAGTTTTTGTTCCTGTCTTACATCAGGACAACCTGGCTGGAAGAATTGCTCTGGCCAATCACTGGATTTGTGTCTGACCTGTGTCCTTTCCCCTCTCACCCCACCCCCCGTGTAAGGTGAGAAGCCTCACAAGTGTGAGTTATGTGATTTTACCTGCCGAGATGTGAGCTACCTGTCCAAGCACATGCTGACCCATTCCAACACCAAGGATTATATGTGCACCGAATGTGGCTATGTTACCAAGTGGAAGCACTACCTCAGTGTGCACATGAGAAAACATGCAGGCGATCTCAGGTACGAGCACACACAGGCCTGCATCCTTATCTTGAGATCCTTCTGTCAAACTGGCCTCTTGGAGCCAACTTCTGGCCCTAACACACTCAACTTGATTGCCTACAGCTGGCCTCTGGGCCTGTACCCCACTCTTTGTGTTGAGAGCAATCTGGGCCAAAGGGAGGGAATACAGACCTAGAGGATAGACCCAAAGACTAAGGTGTCACTTGAATTCACAGTCTGGTCAGGAATGTGGATAGAATCTTTACTTCTGGCACCATTCCTGGCCACTGCCAATTCCAGGCAAGTTCTCTGACCTGTGGGTACAACTGACTAGGGCATTTCTCTACAGCTTTCATGCCTCTATAGGAGAATGGAAACTAGGCACAAAAATCTACCCTGGGGATATTAGCCTTATCACCCCTTGGAAGTCCAGAATGAGTGATGCTGACTTATTCATGATTCCTTTAGGAAGCAACTTAGAGTAGGGGTTAGAATGCTGGCCCTGAAGCTAGGATGTCTCCTCCTCAACTTCCTTTGGAACCATCTTTCGCAGGTTATTAATTCTGTGCCTTAGCCTCAACTATAAAATAGAAATGCCTGTTTTATAGGGCAGTGGAAAGGTGAGTTAAATGATGCATGAGTGTAGAGCCTGACCCATATTTATTTAGTTACTGTTAGCTGTTTATTATTGCGATTGCCTCCCTCTCCCTCTTTACCAGATACCAGTGCAACCAGTGCTCCTATCGCTGCCATCGGGCCGACCAGCTGAGCAGCCACAAGCTGCGACACCAGGGCAAGTCTCTGATGTGTGAGGTGTGTGCCTTTGCCTGCAAGCGGAAGTATGAGCTTCAGAAACACATGGCTTCCCAGCATCACCCTGGCACACCAGCCCCACTCTACCCGTGCCGCTACTGCAGCTACCAGAGCCGCCACAAGCAGGCCCTGTTGAGCCATGAAAACTGTAAGCACACCCGTCTCCGTGAGTTCCGCTGTGCCCTCTGTGACTATCGTACCTTTAGCAACACCACTCTATTCTTCCACAAGCGTAAGGCCCATGGCTACGTGCCTGGGGACCAGGTCTGGCAGCCCCGTGATGCCAGACAAGAGCCAGGGGTCACCAGACAGTGCTTGGCACACCCACCAGACTCAGAGCCCTCCAGCCAGCTGTCTATCCAGCCTGAGGGCCCAAGCCATGAACCTGGGTCTGTGGTGGATCCCAGCTTGGATCAGGCCCTGCCAGAGATAAGTGAGGAGGGCAGCACCAGGAGACGGAATGGCAGTGAGGCTCTCCATGGCGTTGACCTGGTTTGCAGTCCCAGCCCAGTGGAAATGGAGGAGGGTAGCTGCACACTACACTTAGAGGCCCTGGGAGTCGAGCTGGAACCTGTGCCTGAGCCACCCCTTGAGGACCTTAATGAAACAGCCACTGTGGAGTTCAAGCCCCTGGATTCCTCTGGGCCTCTGGAACTGGAAGGGCCAGATGGACGCGAAGGGCCAGCAGCATCCAGCTTTGAAAGTGTTGGGACTGCTGGCTTGGGTGCTGAAGAAGAGCCTGTTCTGGAGAAGCCAGTCCCTGAGCCCACTAGAACTCCTCCATCCTCAGAAGAGACCCCTAACAGCAGGGTAGAAAACTTGAAGGCAACTCCACCTGCTGAGATGCCACCCTTGCCTCAGTTTCCTGAGTCAGAGTCATTACTCAAGGCTCTAAGGAGGCAGGACAAAGAACAAGCAGAAGCATTGGTGCTGGAAGGGCGGGTACAGATGGTAGTGATCCAGGGAGAAGGACAAGCCTTCCGCTGCCCACACTGCCCCTTTATCACTCGCCGGGAGAAGGCCCTAAATCTGCACTCCAGGACAGGGTGCCAGGGCCGCCGAGAGCCCTTGCTGTGCCCTGAGTGTGGGGCTAGCTTTAAGCAACAACGTGGCCTCAGCACCCACCTGCTGAAGAAGTGCCCTGTTCTGCTCAGAAAGAACAAGGGCTTGCCAAGACCAGATTCTCCCATCCCTATGCATCCTCAGCTCCCAGGCACCCAGGCCCCAGAGGATAGTGAAGGCAGGAATCCCCAATCTGTACCAGTAGAAGAGCTACTGTTTCCAAAAGATGCTCTTCCCAAGCTTCCCAGGGAGCCAGAAGGAGTAGAGCTTCTCACCACACCCTCTGAATTCCTGGTCCCTTCTGCAGGAAACTCCTCACCCACAGAGACCCCTGAGAAGTTCCACTTTGAGCATGGCAAGTTTCACTGCAACTCATGCACATTCCTTTGTTCCCGGCTCTCCTCTATTACCTCTCATGTGGCAGAAGGCTGCCGGGGAAGACGTGGCCAGGGAGGAAAGCGAGGGAGCCACCTGAGCAATGGAAACTCTGCTCCCCTGAGTAATGGAAGTGGGAGTACCAAGCCCAGTCCTGGTGATGGGGTCACAGCTTCAGCTCAGAAACAAAAGGTGGCCCTCTTTTCCTGCCCCACGTGCCCCTTCAGCTGCCAGCAGGAACGGGCCCTGAGGACTCACCAGACCCAGGGCTGTCCCCTTGGGCAGTCTGGAGAGCTGCACTGTGGCCTCTGTCCATTCACCGCTCCCACTGCTGCTGCCCTGAGGCTCCACCAGAAGCGGAAGCACCACACTGCAGCCCCAGTCCAAGGCCCGAGGCCCCCTCTGCAGTGTGGGGACTGTGGCTTCACCTGTAAACAGAGCCGATGCCTGCAGCAGCACCGGCGGCTCAAGCATGAGGGAGTGAAGCCACATCAGTGCCCTTTCTGTGACTTTTCCACCACCAGGCGGTATCGGTTGGAGGCTCACCAGTCCCGACACACAGGTGTTGGCCGCATCCCCTGCAGCTCCTGCTCTCAGACATTTGGTACCAACTCAAAACTGCGCTTGCACCGGCTAAGAGTACACGACAAGACACCCACCCACTTTTGTCCACTCTGTGACTATAGTGGCTATCTTCGCCATGATATCACTCGCCATGTCAACAGCTGCCACCAAGGCACCCCGGCCTTTGCCTGCTCCCAGTGTGAGGCTCAGTTCAGCTCGGAGACAGCACTGAAGCAGCATGCTCTGCGCCGACACCCTGAGCCCACACATGCTGCCCCTGGCTCCCCTGCCGAGGCTGCTGAAGGCCCCCTGCAATGCTCCCACTGTGGGCTGCTCTGCCCCAACCCTGCCAGTCTGCGAGGACATACCCGTAAACAGCACCCACGGCTAGAGTGTGGGGCTTGCCAGAAGGCCTTCCCTAGCCGGCCCGCACTGGATGAGCATCGGAGACAGCAGCATTTCAGCCACCGCTGCCAATTGTGTGACTTTGCTGCCCGAGAGCGGGTGGGCCTGGTGAAGCACTACCTGGAACAGCATGAGGAGACTTCAGCAACAGCGGCTTCTGATGGGGATGGGGATGCTGGCCAGCCGCCTCTGCACTGCCCGTTTTGTGACTTTGCATGTCGCCATCAGTTGGTGCTAGATCACCATGTGAAAGGGCATGGGGGCACCCGACTCTACAAGTGTACTGATTGTGCTTACAGCACCAAGAACCGGCAGAAAATCACCTGGCACAGCCGCATCCACACAGGGGAAAAGCCTTACCGCTGTCATCTCTGCCCCTATGCCTGCGCTGACCCCTCTCGCCTCAAGGTAAGTTCAGGGGCCTGAGGCCAGGAATGGAGAAAGTGTAGGCTCTGGGTCCTGTAATCCCAACTCTTCCAAACACTAGTTTTATGACTTTGGATGAGTTCCTTGACTTCCCTAAGGTTCAGATCCCTCACTTACAAGGAGGGGATAATACTTACCAACTTCAGAGAGTTATAAAGATAAAATTTTATAGTACCTGCTTACAGTGTGATAAGGCCATATAATAATTCTGGGATAATCTGGATAATAACAGCTAACATTTACTGAGCACTTACTGTATACCCAGGACAGTAATTTTAATTCTTTCAAAGATAAGAGATACAGATACTTTTACTAGTCCCCATTTTACAGATTACTGAGAATTCAGGGTTAGCTCACCCAAGGACAAAGCTTATGAGTGGCAGAGCTGAGATAGTCAGGGCAGACCTAGGGAGGCTGAATGGGTTAGGTAAAGTGGCCATCCTGGAGGACCCAGTTGGTAACTTAAGTTTAGATAGGATGGGAGCTGGGAATAGGATTATCTGCCAACAGTTTCTTCGCCTGCTTATCCCTATTCCCCCGTCCAGTGAGTACCACAGGATATACATGTTCTGCTTTTTGTTTTTTTTCTTGTTAGTATCACATGCGGATCCATAAGGAGGAACGGAAGTACCTGTGCCCTGAGTGTGGTTACAAGTGCAAATGGGTCAACCAGCTCAAGTACCACATGACCAAGCACACAGGTGAGTCTGGGTGGTTTTGACAGGCCTAAAGTATTGCCCTGTTCTCTGGTAAGCCTGACCTCAGTAAAGTGATATGTGTCCTTGCTCAGATTCAGAGCAACATCAATTTTCACACTGGAATTAGAGGGTAGGCTGAAAAAGTGTATATCAAATGCCTCTCCAACTCACTTTAGCTATCAGAAACAGAGGAGCATAAACTTGAGAGCACATGTACATTCCAACAGCTTCCCACCTGATTGTGGTACAGGGTTGTTCCCTGATTGAGAACCCCAATTCAAACCTCAGTGAGATCAGGTCTACCTGGTTCCTATACTCATATAAGTACAAAGCAGAAAGTGTAAAGTTCTCTTGTTCCAGTTTATCCTTATCCTCTCTTTGGTATGGAATCTACAAACTAGAGCTTCTCTGAAAAGGGTTAATGATTATGTGCCTATGGTTACTACATATGCCTGCCCATATGTAGAACTGATTAGGTGCATTTCAAGGCCCTCTGCTTCCATGAATGCTGCTTCTTTCATCTTTACTACTTTTCTCTTAAGCATTCTGTTACTTTTTGAGTTGAACAATGAGTTGTGTTTAAATGAATTCCTACATCCTGTGAATATCCCATGATCAAAAGAGGGTTGGAATTTCCCATTCAATAACCCTATCATATTTGAGTACTCATTACTATCAGGTAGCTAGTTGGTTAGAGGTCACTTAGTCATTAGCACCCACTGGTCACCTATGCAAACAAGGGCTGTGTTGAGAAAAGGACACAGAAGTACCATACAGGACTAGAACATTCCAAAGATATGGTCATTATATAGCTTGCTGCCTGTGTTCTTTATATCCCAGTATCATGATGTCCTTATTGCCTGCCGAACTTTATTCTATGCTGCCACAGTGGTGATTTATTCCCTGTCCTGTAGGACTGAAGCCATACCAGTGTCCTGAGTGTGAGTACTGCACCAACCGGGCTGATGCACTGCGTGTGCACAGGGAGACACGCCATAGAGAAGCACGGGCTTTCATGTGTGAGCAGTGTGGCAAGGCCTTCAAAACGCGCTTTCTGCTGCGCACCCACCTTCGCAAGCACAGTGAAGCCAAACCCTATGTGTGCAACGTGTGCCACCGAGCATTTCGCTGGGCTGCCGGTCTGCGCCATCATGCCCTCACCCACACTGATCACCACCCCTTCTTCTGCCGCCTCTGCAGCTACAAGGCCAAGCAGAAGTTCCAGGTGGTCAAGCATGTGCGCAGGCACCACCCTGACCAGGCCGACCCCCACCAGAGCGTGGGCAAAGACCCCACAACCCCCACCGTGCATCTGCATGATGTGAAGCTGGAGGACTCCAGCCCTCCTGCTCATGCCACTCCCTCCATTGGACCTGAGGGCTGAGCCTAGCCCATCTCCCAGAGAGCTGGCTGTGGCCAAAGATGGAGATCAGAGCTAGTTCAAGGTGCTCAGGGCCTAAGGAAGAACTGGCTTTGAGCTGTCAGTTCAACTGTAACCCCTCCTGGGACTCTGGTCATAGTACTTTGAAATTAGTGGCTATATAAAAGAGAGATATAGACCAAAACATTGATTTCTTCTTGAAGTGCACTATATTTTTAACCTGTGAATTTCCAGTTTCTTCACCATCACTCAAGAGTCCCTGTATATAAGGTCCCGATTTTATCCACTCTGTTTTCCCTTCTTACTGAATCAAGTCCTGTTTTCTTCTAGCATCTTTAAATAAGTTGTATCTAACTGCATGTGCCTAATGCTCTATAAAGCATGTTAAACAGAAAATGACTACCAGCTTATGGATTCGTCCAGCTTCCTGTCTTAACGTTTCCAGGTTGTCATCTTGATCTGCCCCATCCCTTCTTAGACCTCTGCTCCTCCCTTGTCTCTTCCATCTTTACTTGGAGATAGGTCTGAAAGACCCCTGTCTGCCTTCTCTCAGACCTTGAGCCTGTCCTGGCCCTTTCGTTTCTCCCCACTCCCAAGCTCCTTTGTCTGGAGGGGGACTGCCACCCACTAAGCCTCTTCCTGGGAGTAGCTTTAGTTCAATATCAGTCCTCAGGCTGCCTTAGCAGCTACACTGGGAATGAAAGCACAACAGTACTTTGAAAGGCAGGTGACTGGGGAGGTAAATTTCAATTCTGAGTTTTCACAATATAATTCTTAGCACCTCGCTATGTAATTGATCCTCTGACAGTAGGAACACTAGAGAGAGTGCTATTAATAATTACGCTTACATAGCCATAAACCAAGAATGTTCCAGGGAAGCTCTCCAAGACGGCTGGGACCACATAAACCTTGGTCTCCTTGTCCTGCCCCCAAGAAGCCTCTTCTGTGTCCTTTCTATGTAGCACATCCAGGAAGCCCCTGGGAACCTCACTTTTCTACCTTTTTTCCACCAACTACCCAAATGTCCCCCCAACCCGTGTACCTCCCCTTCTTCCCCAACAATAACACCATAGAGGAGCCAAATTGGAGAGAAGCTCTATTTACACCAGAGAGATAAGGAGGAGCAGTCCAGTGGAGACTCTTGAGGGCTGTGGAGTATTCTCTGAAGAGTCAGTACGGTCTTGGGTCAGGTCTCCTAACCCAACCTTTGCTTGGGGAGCTTTGATCCTTGATTTATCCTTCCCTTGGCTCTGGGCTTTGAGGAAGTTAGGAGTGGAAAGGATAATAGTTCTGTGGGTTTCTGTGTTCCAAGCCCCTCTTTAGGTTTCCAGTTGCAATCTGCCTTCACACCAGAGTTGATGGGAGAGGTTAGTGGTGGGTCTGAATATGGGATTGAGCCCACAGCAACAGGAAGGAGAAACGCCTGCACAGTGTACACAAAGAAGAAGGGCAGGAAAGATACCAAAGGCTTGTGAAAACAAGAGAAGGGAAGAGAGAGAAGGTGAAAGTCCTAGATTTGCTTGTTAGAAAGGGCAAGGTAACTGGTACCTGGTAATGCACAATCTCCGTTTGCTTTCTTGGGGGCAATTCTTCCAGGTTTTTCTCCCTATCTAAAGCCACCACCCTCCCTTGCATGAGGTACCCACCTCAGGATTCAATCTCCAGCTCTTCCCGGATGGAGATGTAAACAAAGATGGAAGCTGGATGGAGGCTGATCCCATCCCTGGAGAGCAGGTGTATGTGACGGTAACCTGGAACGAGGCAAAAGGACAGTCAGGAAGGCAGCCAGAGCTGGTGTGTTGGCCAGGGGTCCGAGAACCATCTCACCTTGTTTCATGCAGGTCCATGGCAGAGTGAACTGGCCAATGAACTCATTTCGGGATTTCCAGTCATAGTCCTTTACCACAAAACGCAGCGTAGCGAGTTCAGGCACCAGGACACGGAAGGACAGTGTCTGTCCCCAGTATGGATTAAAGCCTGAGGTGGGATTGGAGGGACCAAAGGAACTGTCACTGACTGTCTTCTGCAATTGCTCATACTGAGTTGCTTTCCCTGTTTTCTCATTTAATCTAGATGGTAATCAGCATTTCACAGGTGAGGAAACAGGCTCAGAATGCATAAACAGCTTTCCTGAGTCACTGGAGCCTGTGAGGGGCTAGGATTCTTCATACTGTTCCACACTGCCTCCTCTGAGTGGAGGAGTGAGCAGTGACGTGAACCATACAAAATGGAGGACAAGACAGAGAGACAGTAGTTATGCGCTACTAGCTCCTTCCCCAGCACTACCCTGTCTCTCACCATTGTTCTCCACATAGTTGGTCTCTTGCCGGGCTGTGTCTGCATGGATGCCGAAGATCTCCACTTTCACCAGTGGGTCCACAATGGACTTCTCTTTGGTGTTGTTCACCTTGGGCAGTTGCTGGCCACTGATCACCTGCAACCAGGGGATTGGAACCTCATGAGTTCCTGCTCAGCCCAGCACCCATTCGGCTTTCACTCCAGGGGAGAAGACACAGGACCTTGCACTATAGCTTTTTGGTTTGCAAAACTAATCCTCCATGGGTTATATATTTTCATATTTTATCTGCAATTTTAGACGCAACAGGTAGAAACTAAGGAGGTCTGAAAGTAGGCATGCAAATGACAGCATAGCCTCTTACTATGTGCCAGGAGTTGTAGACATTTGATCTTAACTGCTTCAATCTTCACAACTCTGGGATGTAGGCAGTAGTATTACCCCCATTTTGCAGATGAACACAGATACAGAGAGGCTAAGGAATTTGTCCACTGTTACACAACTAGGAAGTAGATGTGAAGCTTGGCAGCAGGCTCCAAAGTCTGATTGTGCTGTTAACATTTAGGCTATCCTGTCTATGGCCATACCACCCTGTACGCGCCCAATCTCCTCTGATCTGGGAAGCTAAGCAGGGTTGGGCCTGGTTAGTACTTGGATGGGAGAACATTTAGGCTATCCTGCCTCTCGGAAATTTTCAACCAGTTACACTCTTGTCAGGCCTAGTTACCTCTTCCCCCACTTCCATCCCAGCCACCCTAGGTTCTTCCCATCATACCTGGACTAATAAGGTCTGAGCCTTATAAGGACTGATGGGCCTTTCGGGGTGGAAGGAACTCTGGACATCACGCAGGAAATCTGGCTTCAGCACGTAGCCACAGACACCATTCTGGCGGAAGAGCCCATCACAGATGTCCATTTCAAGCCCTGCAGTCTGCATATTCATAGCCACTGGGGATCCAGGAGAAAAAAGGAAAATTCACATTGGGGGCCTTCCAGCCCATCTCTGTAGATAGAATCTTTCTCACCCTACTACTCGTTAAAGCATTCCCTGCCCCTACTTCCACTGAGGAACTTATCTTCCACCCCACCCCCCTCCCTGCTTCTGTGGCCTCCTTACCCATCTGGCAGCCTGCATTCCAGAGCTCCTGGGGATTGTAGTTGGATGAATCTGTCCTCAGACCACTAGGATACACACGGCTTAACTGCCAAGTATTGTGCTGCACAAACTCATTGCCTATAAAGGGTGTAGGGGTGGAGAAGGAAGTGGGGGCAGAGCCTCCCACTTCTTCCATCCCAAGATGCTGCCCACTCATTCACTCCTCCCTGACTGCTGAGGTTGGCTCCAGAAAGCTTCACTGTGCTTCTGCTCTGCTCCATCCAGCCCATCTTCCTCCCAGCTTTCCTCCCCCTGCTGCCTTGTGTCCATTATTCACAACTCCTCTCCATTTGCCTGCTCTGAGGAGTTTCTTAGCTTCTTCATTTCTCCCTAGCTCTTGTCCTCTTTCTTGGAACTTACCTTCCTGCCATCAGGTGTGAGCCCACCCAACCCACTTCCCTCCCTGTCCTTCCATTTTGGTCCTGACCAGCCTCCTTGATAAGGTTCCTGGCCTTGCTTTCAGAGAAGGATGATATCTCATAGAAGTGGTAGTTCTCTTTTGAGTGAGAGAAGCTGTGGAATGGGACAGACTTCAGGTAGACAACCAGGGCAGAGAGGGCTGGACACAAGATGGGCTTGAGTTTCTGGGGGAGAAAGTAGAAGGAAGATGGAATTGAATCCTCAGCAGTCTGCGAGGGAAGAAGCTAACAGCCATCCAACCTGAGCCTCTGCCCGCTGCCTCCCCACTGCATTCTCCCTCCTGCCTCACCTGCATGGGCAAGAGAAGCAACCCACCAGGATCGGGAATAGGACCCTGAGTCATAATCTGACAACAGATAGGCGGACAAAACGGCGGGCACTTCACAACCTGAGGGTGGGAATGGGAATAAAGGCATTCTGCATATAGTGCTGGGATTGGTGTCAGCCTCTGAGCCTGGAGGGTCTGCTGTATGTTACACCTTAGATAACAAGTATTTATATTATTTTTAAACAGAGAAGCATCTTCCTCCCTACTTCTCTCTTTTTCTTCTCCTTTTATTTATTTTGTTGTTGGTGTTGTTCTTGTTTTTTGAAGGGTTTGGTTTGGTTTATTTGAGACAAGGTCTTGAACTAGCCTTGAACTAACTATGTAGACCTGGCTGGGCTTGAACTTCCAGCAATCCTCTTGCCTCAGCCTCCTGAGTATTGAGATTACAGGCCTACTTCTCTTTTAAAGCAAATTAATGATGATCTTTGGTCAAAAGGTTCATGAATCTGGACAGATATGTCAGGGTATGCAAATGATCACAGAATTCACGCCTCGAAGGCTGTGAGGATCCCAGAGTAATATATTTGGATTTGTTTCCTGAATTCCCATTTCCAACCCTGGACACAGTAGCAGGTTAAACACCACAGCCCCAGAGGGAACAGGGTATGCTAGAAGTCAGCTGAGTGAGCCAAGCGAGTGCACAAGAGAACAATGCAGACTTCAAACCTGGATTGCAGAGGTACAAGCAATGGCACCCCTTCTCCCTCAGCCTCCTTCTTCCCCATAGGGAGGCAGACCACGCTGGGACAACCTTCTCAGGGGTTCAGCTTCCCCACTTCCAACTTTTCTCCCTTTCATCTCTGGCTATTTCTGGCCCCTCCTCAAACTCAAATTTTACCCCTTCCAAGAAGGAGCTAAACCAATATAGTTGAGGTCACAGAAATTATTTCAGGCAAAGTAACAGTCCTACACACACACACACACACACACACACACACACACACACACACTCTCAGTGGTTTTGAAACCAGGATTTAAAGAGACTGACACGTACAAAGATGTGTCCAGAGTCACCTAGGGGATCCAGAAGAGCCAAATGAGAGCTCCAATGGTTCTGCATTAGAATGGTTCTGCATTTACCTATTTTGTTTACTGAGCTTTCATACAAGACTGTGTTAGGGAGAAAGAAGGAAAGTGAAAGAAATAAAGATGTCATGGCCCAAAGAAGTAGGAAAGCCACTGGAATATATCTGTAAATGGCAATATATATAATGATGCCATACACACATTCTTTCATATATTTTTTTTTGGCACCAGAGATCGAACTCAAGACCTTGCGCTTGTGAGGCAGGTGGCAAAACCACTGAGCTACATCCCCAGCCCCATACATGCATTCTTATGCCTCTGTTATTAGGAGGAAGGTTCGTTTTTCTCTTTGCCCCTCTACTTTGCCTGGGTTTAGTCTCATCACAAACCAGCCTTCAGCTTGTGCTGCATGCTGAGCAAATGCTATGGCAGGAAGACGGCTCCTGGCCTACCTTCTTTTTGTCCTTACTCTGAAGGAACGACTCTTGCAGCTCAGGCTCCAGCTCTGACCCCTGCTGTTGCTCCAGGTCACACTCTGGCTCCTCCTCTTCATCCTCATCCTCAACATCCTGCTCAAGTGTTTCTAACTTCTTCCCCTTCACCAGAATCTTTCCTCGAAGTTGCTAGGGGACAAAAACGAAGGGACCTATCTATCTACCTGTCTGAAGTTCTTCTGGAGATCCTTCAGATCTCATTGCTCTCAAAGGCAGAGGAAGAAAGAGAGTGGTCGAAAGTTCCCCCAGGAAGAGATCAGTTTCTTGGTATATAACATAGGAATTCCCTTATTGTTAAGCAAACTTGTTATATCTCTACCTATATGGAAAAACAGGCCCCTACCTCACATTTGACATACTAAAAACTCCTTTAAAGATTTACATATATAGTCGGGCGTGGTGGCGTACACACTTGTAATCCCAGCACTTGGGAGCCTGAAGCAGGAGGATCACTTCAAGTTTGAGGCCAGGCTGGCCTACATAGTGAGGTCAAAGTCAGTCTGAACTACATAGTGAGACCCCTGTCTCAAGATCTCCCTCCCAAAAAAAGAAATAAGAAAAAAAAGATTTACATATATAAGGAACATAAGAGCCAGGCATGATGGTGCACACCTGTAATCCCAGCATTTGGGAGGCAGAGGCTGGAAGATCACCACAAGTTCAACGCCAGCCTGCACTACATAGTAGACCCTGTCTCTAAATAAATAAATAAACAAAAAAGCTCATAAGAGTGTGAGAACAAAATAGCATTTAGAAAGGTGATAAGAAAACTCAATTCTAAAATAGAAAAGATTGAAAATTTGATTACATGAAGCTTAAAAACTTCTATAAGATGAAAAATGCTAAAAACAAAAAAAGCAAAAATAGACTGCAAAAAATATTTTCCAGGCTGGAATGGTGGTACACACCTATAATCCCTGCACTCCGGGAGGCTGAGGCAGGAAGATCACAAATTCAAGCCCAACCTGGGCAACTTAATGACTTAGAGAGACCCTGTCTTAAAATAAAAAATGGCTGGTTCAATCCCCAGTACCCCTCCCCTAAAAAGCCTAATATCTTTAACATTTAACATCGGCTGGGCACACTTGCAATCCCAGCATTCAGGAGGCTAATGCAGAGGATTGCAAGTTCAAAGCCAGCTTGTGCTACACAACTAGTCTGAGGCTAGGCTGGACCACATAGCAAGATCCTGTCTCAAAAAACAAAAACATCAGGCCAGGGATTTAGCTCAGTGGTTTCGCCGCCTGCTGCGCAAGTGCAAGGACCTGAGTTCGATCCCCAGTATCAAAAAAAAAAAAAAATCACTGAATATCAATAAAAATGATAAACCCTAATGAAAGTAAATAATAACAAATAGTTCAAAAAAAGAAAACATAACCTTTTTTTTCAGTGTTTGCCATTATGATTATGAATCATCTCCCAGAGTTGTTTCTGGTCACTCTCTTCTGTCGGTTGGAATATAATTTGGTTTTTTCCCCCCACAGGGCGAATTGGCATAACAATAAAAAAATATGTCAGGATGCAAACCTTTTAACCTAGTAATTTTGTTTCTAGGAATCCTTTTCAAAGAAAAACTAAATGGACAAAGCCATATGTATAAGTTGAAAATTACAAACAACCTAAATGTCCATCAAATGTGCAAACAGTTGAATAAATTATGGCCCATAACATAAATAGAATACTTTAGAGCTCAACTGTGCATGGTTTTTGCCTATAATCCCAGCACTCAGGAGGCTGAGGCAGGAGGAGCACAGCAAGTTCAAGGCCAGTCTGGGCTATATAGTGAGTTTAAGGCCAGCCTGACCTGCACAGTGAGACTCTGTCTCAAAACAAAAACAAAAAAGAATACTGTAAAGCTGTTTAAAAAATTATACATGAAAAGATATCCACAATATATATTACATGTAAGATATTCATGGAAGATGATTCCATTCATGGTTTTTAAAAAATGTGAATATAAGGCCAGGCGTAGTGGCACATACTTGTCCCAGCACTCAGGGGGCTGAAGCAGAAGGACTGCCACAAATTGGAGGCCAGCCTGGACTATTTGGTGAGTTCAAGGCCAGCCTGAACTACCTAGTGAGATCTTATCCCAAAAAACAAAATAAAAATGTGAAAATAAGTCTGGCATGATGGTACAGGCCTGTAATCCCAGCACTCAAGAGGCTGAGCCAAGAGGATCACCATGAGTTTGAGGCCACTCTGTCCCAAATAACATGTGAATATATACACCTGTATTTATATAAGGGTTTAAAAAACTTATTGATATGGGCATAGCTCAGTGATACAGCACGTCCTTAGCATGAGTGAGGCCCTAGGTTCTAACCCCAGCATCAAATAGGTATAGCAAAAGATAGATAGATAGATAGATAGATAGATAGATAGATTGATAGATAGATAGGGATAGAGATATGGATAGAGATATAGACATATATAGATACAGATATTTTTATGGAAGAGGTTGTGATCATGCTGGAGGTGGACTTCCTTGTCTCTATATTGTCTGTATGGTCTACACCGTACAACAGTTATAAACTATTAAGATATTTCCACTGAAAGTAAAATATAGAGTGAATAGTTGACTGAAACTTTAGAGAACTATAAATAGAATTCTGCCTTCAATTAGATCTTTCAAAATGAAAGGTGTCTCCAGGCATATTAAAGACAAGATGGCCCATCTGAGGACAGAAAGAAGGGAACAAGAGGTGCGTGGAGGAAGGAGCCACAGGGGGAAGGCAGAAGCTACAGAAGAGCCTAGGTCCCTACCTCTGGCGAGGGCAGCTGTGTGGGCAGCAGCCCATCCAAGGGGGTACTCAGCAGCTGCTCCCCCAGGATCTCGGTCAGGTGTTGTGCCAGAGTCTGTTGCTGCTCCCAGCTGCAGTGGTTCTCCAGGGACAGGATGAGTGGGTAGTCTGATGTCTGATGAGGGAGAAGGTGGGGGGGCTTGTATCCACAGTTCTAAACCCCTTGACCTCCTCCAAACATGTGGCTTCCAGGGCCCCCTGTTAATTCATTTGAGTACCCTGAGGGCTAAATGTCTCCAACCCCGCTACAGGACTCAGTGAGACCGCTGGGGCCTGAACTCCATGGCCTGGTATGCTACTCACATCTAAGATCACTCTTGGGGTCCCAAATTTCATACCTATGCCAAGTCTGACCCAGGTCCTTCTGAGACTTTTGAGTTTTCAGGCTCAGAGTAGGAGGGCCAGGTCATTCCCCTAGTTATTGTATTACACCCTCAGACACCCATCTCCAAATTCCTATTGTCCCTCAGCCCTACTCACCGCTATTTGTATCCTTATCCATCCTCTCCCAGATAGTTAAATGAACTTGTTATAAGTAGTAGTTACTAAGAATTAGTAATTACCTCTATGACTACTGATTAGTAGTAACACACTCAACACTTATTCATGTAACCCTTAATGTTGTCTGATGCTTTAAATCATCTATATATAGCATGCTATTTGCAGCAACTTTTCCTGCACTCCTTTACCCTCCCAGACCTGAGCCAGTCATTTTCCCCCAGACCCTCTTTCCTTACTTAGTGCTGGTCCCAACCTGGGGATACTACCTGGAAGGCATACTCTGCTACTGTGGCCACAACATCTTTGAACAGGATTCGGGAGGTCAGAGTGTGTCCATGGTAAACGACAGGTTCCCCGCTAGGTCCATCCCAAACATCCACCTCCACACAACGGCACCCCCGCTTCAGGGCCCTGTAAGAACGCCAAGAGCCCAGAAGCAGGGGAGGTCAGTGTATGATCTTCCACCTAAGGACCCTCTCTGCACTCTGGTGAGAACAATGCTCACCACCACTTACCCATCCAAACCCCTGCAAGCTGTATCTCCATGGAGACTTCTCTGTCTACTGAGATCTGGTTGCAATTCACACTGATCTCCACCCCTACCCCCCCAACATGCAAGCATCACACATTGCCTTGTGGTACTTTTGGTGTTCTGGTTTCATATCTCTATTCCAAACCTGTGATGTCAAACTCTTGGTAAGTGTATGCCTCCCCTCTCTCTCCTCCTCCCCTCCCAATGGGGATTCAACCCAGGGCCTCACACATGCTAAGGATGCATTCTACCACTGAACTATACTCCCACCCCCTTATTTTCTCAACTAGACTTTCTAACGTGGAAACTTGGAAGTTTCACTTATTTTTGAGTAAAAGCTCCACTAATTTTTTATCCTATAAAGCTACTAGTTCATTTGCTAGCACTTACAAAGATCTCTTGACTATTCAATCTAATTCATGATTAATCACAATAAAAGCAGCTTCCGTGGGGTAGCTACTGACACACAGATTAACTCATTCAGTGTTCACAACTACCCTGAAAGGGAAGGCACTGTTATCCTCATCTCATAGACAGAGAACAAGGCATAAAGAGGTTCATTACTTAGCCCCAAAGTACTATTAAGGGAGCTAGGATTTGACCCCAGGTAGTCGGACTCTAGAACTCATGTTTCTAATCCTCTGTTCTACTGCCTTCCCTTTAACATGCAGTTTATTTATTAAAAATAAATCTGTGAAGGCCTCTGAGTTCTGAGAGTTTCACAGTTTGTGAAAGAGAAGTTCTATTTACCCATAGGGTTTCATTACTATTCTCCCACCAGTCTTCAATGTCTTCTCCAAGTATCTCAGGTATCCAGGCTCAACCCCTAATCCCCCATACAATACTTCGTCAACCCCTGTTGTCCACTGATAGCCTCCCCTCATTTCCCCACAGTTAGTCCCTCTCATGAGCTGGACCTTTTTTCTACCCCACTGCACCGTATATATCCCTCGACGCTGCTTTGGCCACACAGCTGGTCCCTCACTAGGTAGGTGTTGTGAGAGGAGTTAATGAAGTAGTGACTCAGAGGCTGAGTCATATCCTGGTAGATGGGGAGGCAGGCCGGGTTGAAGATGTCTCCATCCTTTGAGCAGAGGTAGCTGAGGAAACCATCCATGCTCAGCACATGCCGAAGTTTGCCTAGGGTGTGGAGTGGGGAGCACTGGAGTGAGATGCTCCGAGTGTAGGGCACGCAGCACACCCACAGCACACCTTCCATCCACCCCATGCCCTCTGGGGTCCTACCTTTCAGATGGTCCCCATTCTCAGCCTCTAGATCCCAAGTATTTCCCACCAGTGCCTGTCATTTCCACCATTCCTACCCTTGGAGACTATCAAAGGGAACCAATAAACTCATTCTAGTCCAGAGCTGTCCTACAGGACTTCGTACAATGATGGAAATGTTCTATTCTGCCTGTTGAATATGGCAGTCTCTAACCACTTGTGGCTACAAGCACTTGAAATGTGACTGGCATGACTGAGGGACTGCATTTTAAGTGCCACTTGAATTTAAATTTAAATAGTCACATGAACCCCAGAGTTATCATAATAGACAGAACAGTACCCAGTGCAAAGGACTAATCTTATAGATGGGAAACTGAAGTCAGAGAGATTCAAAGTCAGAGAATCATTAGTGATGAGGCCAAGATACCTGTTTTCTTTCTTGGGTCACACAGCTGTGTGACCTATGATTTGAAGATCTCTTCCTACCATCAACACTCCCATGTGGTGTTTCGGGGAGCATTTGTCAGCGTCGCCTTAGAGTACACTCTTGTTAAAGAAAGGGACTGTTACCCCTTCTCTTATGGTTTGGACCTAAAATGGCCCCAGAAGTCTCACATATTCAGCAGTGGAACTTTGAGGTGATTGGGTTATGGAGGTACTGATGAGTTCATAGCTGAATGTGCTGTTAGGAGGGGTCTGGTTGGAAAAGGAGATTCACTGGGAGCATGGCCTAGAGAGGTATATTCTTGTCCCTGGCTCCTCTCTTCTCTCTCTCTCTGCTTCCTGGCTGCCATGGGTTGAGTATCTTTCCTCCACTATGCCCTTCCACCATGCCATTTCTGCCATGGAGCCCATCAACCATGGACCCAACCCATGGCAAACCATGAGCCAAATAAATCTCTTCTCCTTTAAATTGTGGGTGTTGGGTATTTTGTCCTAGTGACAGGACAGTGACTAATACACTTTCTATAGCCCTCAGGCTTCTCAAGGTTGGTTTCATATACTAATGATAACGACTAACAGTAACTAAGCACCTGCTCTATGTTAAGGACACTATATGCAACAGCTCACTTAATAGTCTCACTAACATGGTTTGCTATGAGAAGTTGATAACTTGCCCCAGGTTACATAACTAGTAAGTGGAAGAGCTGGGATTTGAACACAGGCCAGCAGGTATCAGCCATGTTCTAGACCACTGAGCTGTGAAGGCATTCTTCCTTGGAAGATAAAACACCTTAATTCTCACGCCCAGCTTCCTTGTTCCAGGTTTGACAAGACCTGGAAATGGTAGAGAATGGCAGCACTTGGGGCAAGAAATTTCATTCTTGCCAGTGATAACTCAAATTACTCAGGTAAATCCATAGTTGATAGATACTTATCATGTGCATCATTTCCTTTCATCACTAGTTATTTTACAAATGAGGAAATTGAGTCTCAGGTTGAATGACTTGCCCAAGGTTACTCAGTTAATAAGAAACAGAGTGAGGACTTGAAGACAGTTTTTTTTGTTTTGTTTTGTTTTGTTTGGTACCAGGGTTCAAACTTGGGTCCTTCCACTTGCGAGGCAGGCGGTGGAACCACTGAGCTAAATTCCTGGCCCTGTTTTGTTTTGTTTTGAGACAGAGTTGTGCTATGTAGTTCAAGCTGGTCTTGAACTCACTATGTAGTCCAGGCTGGTCTTGAACTTGCAGTGATTCCCTTGCCTCAGCCTCTAGAGAGCTGGGGTTATAGTTGTCTGCCACCACTCCTGGCTAGGACAAGTCTTTTGACTGATAATACACTCTGAACCAAAGTCTACTATCTGATTCTCAAGTGCAAGGGGAGGGATCACCAAGAGAGGTGTAGAATAAATCTTGTCTCAGTCTGTTTTACAGACTAGGTACTTAATTTATTAAAAACAGGTTTCTTACAGTTCTGGAAGTCTGAAGTTCAGGGGCCTGCATCTGGTGAAGATCTTGCTGGGTCATCCCATGGCAGAAGATGGAAGGACAAGAGAATACTTGGGAGAGCAAGAGGGAGGAAGGGGACCAAATGTATCCTTTTAGCAGGAACTCACTCCCTTGATAACTCCCAGAACACTCCCATAAAGCAGAGCCCTCATGACTTAATCAACTCTTAGAGGTCCCACCTCTCAACTCTTTTATGTTGGATCTGGGAGCAATGGCGCATTCCTGTAATCCCAGCACTTGGGAGGTTGAGGCAGGAGGCCAGCCTGGGCTACATAGTGAGTTCAAGGCCAGCCTGAACTACATACATAGTGAGACCCTGTCTCAAAAAAAAAAAAATTGAACTGTCAACACTTTTATGTTGCAGATTAAATTCCCAACACATGCAATCTGGGGAACATATTCAATCCATGACAAATGTAATTGATGTGTACTAGATCCTGCTCTGGAAACAGCAGCTCTTAACTCTGATATTCTTCAATTTAATTTTCTGAAATTATTGCTTTAGAGCCTCCATTCTTCTTTTAACACCCTCACAAAATCAAACCCAAGGCTTTGTGCATACTACGCAAGTGTTCTACCTCTAAGTTTCATTCACAGCCACTAACACTTTCTGTTTGACTCTAAATTCTACAATGGCAGTGCCCTTGTCTGACCTAGGTACTACTGTATCTCTGTGCTCAGAACAGATGACATATTATAGGTAATCAATAAGCATTAGCTGAAGTAGTGAATGAGTGAATGAATGAAATGGAGTAGGAGTTGAGACTTGAAACCTGGATCACTTCCTCAGCTCTCAATCATCCCATGTTATCTTCAATTCCAAGAGAGATATCAGTTAAGAGATGACTTGTATTTGAATTCCAATTCCTTCCTCATTAGTTGTTGCCTTTGGACAAGTCCTTTCTTCTTTCTCAAGCTCAATTTTTCTATTTTATACAACTGAATAAGAGAATCCTTTTGGGAGGGGTTCTTTTGAGACAAGGTCTCACTATGTAACTCAGGCTGGCTTTGAACTCACTATGAAGCCCAAGCTGGCCTAAAATTCACTATGATCAAAAAAAAAAGAAAAAGAAACAAAAATCTGCTATGATTCTTCTGCCTCAGCCTCCCAAATGCTGGGATTACAGATGTGGGCTATCACACCTGGCTAAGAGAATCCATTTTAACAGGACATTGGAAGGATTTGAAGAGAAAAAGCATATAGAGATATTAATGCATGGTAGTATACTTAAAAAGGCCCAATAAAGATTATTGCTGTTCATCTGAGTCATCAGTTACTAAATTCAAGTATTCTTTCCTTAAATTAAAAAAAAAAAGATGTTTGGTTCTATTAAAATTTAAAATATTAATTTGTGAAAATACATTTAAAATTGCTTTCATTATAAAGCAGCGAAGAGTTAAAATTCTAATGTAGGGCCAGGGATTTAGCTCAGTGGTTCCACTGCCTGCTGCGCAAGCACAAGGACCCGAGTTCGATCCCTGGTACCAAAAAAAAAAAATTCTAATGTATAGTCCTATTACAAAAAGAGGGTCCAGCCGGGGACCTAGCTCAGTGGTTTTGCTGCCTGCTGAGCCAGCACAAGGACCCAAGTTAGTTCCCCAGTACCAAAACAAAAACAAACAAACAAAAAAAACCACAAAAAGAGGGTCTGGGGCTGTAGCTTAGTGGTAGAGCCCTACCCCAGTATGTGCAAGACCTTGGATTTTATTCCTGGTACTGTGAGGAAAAAAAAGAAAAAGAAGAGGATTTCCCTGGAGAGGCCCTTAGACCCTTGCCCAATTAAACTCCCTCCAGATGAGAAAACAGCAGCCTGAATATTACATAATTAAGTTTAATGTAATTAAAAGGTTAAACAGTTTTCTCAGGCCGGGAATTTAGCTCAGTGGTTTCACTGCCTGCTGCGCAAGCACAAGGACCCGAGTTCGATCCCCAGTACCAAAAAATAAAAATAAAAAATAAAGTTTTCTATGTTCAAAAGCAGTAAAGTTTTCTTAAGATATTAAAATGCTGTTAGTTAAACATACAAAAAAAGATTATAGGTGTTGACTTACAAGGTTATAGTGAGAACTAAATTAAGCAAATAATGTGAAAGTGTCTTGTAAGTAATTTACTATTAATGTAAATTTGCTCACACTCTGGAGGGAAGAGAAGAATGGAAACAAGTGTACAAAAGAGAGTGGAAGAAAATATGAGGACTGAAAAGACATATTTTTGCTGCACTTGTTAAATGCTAAATAATTGGCCTCATCATCTGCTCTGCCCAGCAGGGAGGAGATTTCTGATTCAGGGGCTCAAGGACTCAAGAACCACTTGAGGAATTGGGAAAAATCCCAGGAAAGGGCAGAGAGCTAACATTTTAAGGGACAGCAAACAGGAACTGTGAAGGAGAACCAGAGGAAAAGGAATCATTTCCACTAGAGAAGAAGACCATGGGTTTTCTGTTTCCACTCAAGATGAAGATGATAGCAGGAAAACATCGCAAAAATAAAGGCTATGAAACAGGAATATAATGAAGAAAGGAGGACTGGTGGGGTCCTCTAGACCCCATTCCTGTTTATGCAGGGAAAGGCTGCTCTCCTTCTGGAGGAGTGGCTAAATGAGATGGTGTGCCGGAGACCAGGACGTAGGTAGATTCAGTGTCCTCCAGGTAGAAGATTGCTTTTCTCTGCTTTTTTTTTTTCTTTTTTTTGGTACTGGGGATCGAACTCGGGTCCTTGCACTTGGAAGGCGGGCGACGGAACCACTGGGGTAAATCCCCGGCCCTAATAATGTTACTTGATAGTTTATTTATTTATTTTTTTGGTACCAGGGATTGAACTCAGGACCTTGTGCTTGCGAAGCAGGCGGCGGAACCACTGAGCTAAATCCCTGGCATGTTTCTCTGCTTTTTAATTATGGCCCCCACCCTGTCCCCTATGTCTGGTATCTTTCCACCCAGTTTTCCTTACCACTGTCTGAAGGCTCATGGCAGTTGATGAGTTCCAGAGCAAGGTCAGGAGCATAATCTTTTTCTTTCTGCTCTTCCTGAAGAAAATCCACAAATTCCAGGAGGGTCAACTTCTGCCCATCGGCTGAAAAGTTCTCAAACAGTTCCTGTACCTCATTACGTTTAGTCAGTGCCTTATAGAACTGTACAAATTCTTCTCCTTCCAGAGTCCCAGACTGGGAGATGTCTGCTGTCTATAAGAGGTTAGGGGAGAGCATACAGATACTTTAATAGGAAATTTTATAACTTTCACTTGCCCTGTAAGGGCGATCCTGTTGGCAGATTCAAACATGCTTCCATAAAACCCCCACAGAACACCTGACATTTCATGTTTATAGATGAAGCCACTTTAGTAAGTTAAAAGCAAAGTTTCTGCTCTATCATTTGCTGCTAAAGAAAATTTTATATCTCATAAAGGCCCCTAAAAGGTCAGAAGATACTTCCTCCTATTTATTCACACTCCAGTGGGGGTTTTGTACTATGCACCTGCAAAATTCTGGCCAGGAAGAGAAAGGTCCTAGAGGTCCAACATAACAATATATTGATATTTGTCTTTCATAGATTTACAATTCATCTTTCTAACAAGACTGAATGGCAAGAATCATTTACCACACTTCCTATTTTGCCTCTCATGGTGCTAGAAGACACAGCAGGGATTCAACAAATGAATGTTCCTGTTAGAGGTCAAAGGCCTTCTGGCCTCATGAAAATATGGCCTGTCTTTCCCAGTAGACTCACCTGGAAGAGACTGAAGGCATATTCTTGGTCCATCTCCACATTCATTAGGTGCAGCAGCCGCTGAACTTCTTCAAAACTCATCCGACCATCCTGGTTTTTGTCTCCACGCTGGAACCAGTCACTCAGCCATCCAGCTTTGAGTCAAGGCAAAAGCACTGTGTGTGTGTGTGTGTGTGTGTGTGTGTGTGTGTGTGTGTGTGTGTATGTTTCATCCATTCATCTCTCTTCCTTCCTAGTCTAGTTTTTCTCCCATGTCAATCCATTCTCCACAGAGCTTCTAGAATAATCTCTCCCAAGCACCAATCTATCTTGTCACTGCATGGCCCAGGCACATGCTGGGACCTTCCTGTTGTTTGCAGAAAGACACCCAATTCCCTTAACATAGAAGTTAAAATCTTCTTCACCTCTGTAATCTGGTGCAACCCATAATTCTTGTTTCTAATGTCCTTGCTTTCTGATGTCCCACTCTCTTCTTCTGTTCAGTCTCCTATCTCTGGACTTTACTCTTACTCTCTTCATATTCAAATACTATTTGTTCTTCTTCTTCTTTTTTTTTTGGTACCGGGGATCGAACTCGGGACCTCGCACTTACGCGGCAGGTGCTGGAACCACTGAGCTAAATCCCTGGCCCTAAATATGTGGAGACTGAACAACACCCTTCTGTTTTTTGCTTTTTTGGTGTGGGGGATCAACACTGGACCTTGTGCTTTTGAGGCAGGTGCTGGAACCACTGAGCTAAATCCCCGGCCCTGTTATACTATTTGTTCTTAAGGCCAGCTCACATGCTATTTCTTCCCTAAAGCCTTCTCAGAACACTTTATGAATTACATTTCTTCCTTTGAATGCATACAAATAATCTAAGTATCATAACATTCCTTTGGTACTTAAATCACACCATTCCATCCTGTCCACTGACCAAGACAATATCTGTATCTCATTAATCTCTGTACCCTAAAACTTGGCATATTGCTTGGTATATCCTTTGTTGGTGACAAATGAATGAATGAATGGGCACACAATCCAGGAATCCTGAAGTACTATGCCACAGGGCCCTCTAAGGAGTTGGTTCCTGTCCCTGTGGCAGTTAATACCACCAGGATCTTCTGTTCAGCTCTCAGGAGCAGCTGTGTGTTTGCTCCTGTGCCTCTCCCTCTACCTCTCTCAATCCTGGGAGACCTGATTCATGCCCAAACTCTGCCTGGCTATACGTTTGCTCCCTCTAGCATCCATTTCTTCCTCAGAACCCTTAGTCACACATCAGCCTGAGGTGCCTTGACTACAGCTTCTGGACCTCTGGGTCTCCCTATCCCTGCACCCTTTCCCATCTTCCCTAGTGCTGCAGCATCTGGCTCCTTAAGTTACCCAGTCCCCACCCTGGCTCCATCTTGTTGATACTGGTCCAGCCGCTCCTGTTGGTCCATGCTTGTAACAAGATCAACCAACAGCTGGAGTCCTTGCATCCAGGTTTGGGCCTCCTCAACACTGTTGGCCACCAGGTCCAGGTTGGAGCGACGGCCATGAAAGACAACAGTGAAACCCTGCTCCAGTGGGAAATCCTCTGCCAGACCACGCAGCAACTCAGAATCATGGCCCTTCCGCACTGTCTCCACATCAGAGATTGAGACTTCAGAGAAGAAGCAGGTAGGAATATTAAAGAAGGGAATCCAACAAACTGCAGAGGTTAAGAGGCAAGGGCCAGCACCCCCTTCTCTATGAAGATATAGAGATGGAGCCCTAAGCTCTACAGGCTGAGTCCTAAAAGCATTAGTGCATGGAAATACAGATTCCTGGGGTTCAGAAGTTCAGTCATTGCTGTTTTCCTAAGCAGCATGGCAGGGGCCTATGCTAGAAGTGCTAAGACGTGGCTTCCGGCCACCAGCTGGCAATGCAACAACAGACCAAAAGGACTTAATCCTCCAGTGTCTTAGATAATGGATGGTCCCTTTCCAGGGCTAGTCTCAATGGTGGTCACAAAAGAGCTGGTAGGGATAACAAATTGAAACACGTTTGAATGGTAGAAGCAATTATACCAAAGCAGTATATGCCTAAATTCAGGTTTGAGGGTTTCCCCTTTCCAGACATTTAGGAGGGAGCCAGAGAAATTCTATCCCGTACCTTAGCTGCGGACAGGTTGAATTGTGACCTTTGAGTATGTGTCTAAAGCAGACTCTCTAAGATGTATTCTGAGATCAGATTTTTGTTTTTATTTTGTTGTTTTGTTTTTTTTTAAGACAGGGTCTCACTAAGTAGTCAAGGGTGGCCTTGAACTCATGGTAATCCTTCTGCCTCAGCCTCTTGAAGGCTGGAATTACAGACATTTGCCACCACACACAGCTAGCTATTAGATTTTTAGAGGAATCATAGTTTGGCCAGCAGAATCTACATTGTTCTGACATATTTTTATTTTTAAAATTTATTTTTATTTTTATTGTTTTTTGGTACTAGGGATCAAACTCAGGACCTTGGGCTTGCGAGGCAGGTGGCAGAACCACTGAGCTAAATCCCCAGCCCACTGATATATTTTTAAATATAAAAATATAATGGCTAACATTGATTAATCAGATCCTGTTTTAGGTACCTTACACATTATTTCATTGAATCTCTGTAATCTACTAGGCAGGTACTGTTTGTTCTGATCCTAGAGCTAGAAAGTGACAGAGCCAGGGCTTTAATCTAGGCAGATTTATGTCTGAGACCATGGTATCTTTTGCTTTCTTTTTTGTTTGTTTGTGTGGTCTTGGTCATATGATAACAATAACAACAACAACAACAGCAACAACAACAACAACAACAACAACAAGAAAATATAACCAATGAACCAAGAGTTGTGGTGAATGCTTGTAATCCCAGCACTCTGGGAGCCAGAAGAGGATCACAAGTTTGAGCCCAGCCTAGGTGATTTAGTGAGATCCTATCTCCCAAAAAAATTTTTTTTTTTTTAAAAAGAGTTGGCTGTTGAGCATGTTGGCACATGCCTATAATCCCAACACTCAGGAGACTGAGGCAGGAGGGTCACTGTGAGTTGGATTCCAGCTTGAACTACATAGCAAGACCCTGTCTCAAAAAACAAAAAACAAACAAATGAACAAAAACAGAGGTGAGGATGTATGTAGCTCAGTATACGGTATGAAGGCCCTGGGTCACTCTCCAGTAATACAAACACACACACACACACACACACACACACACACACACATATACATAATACATACATACATTTTTTTTCTATGACTTGGGCCTTACTATGTGCCAGTGCTCAGCTAAGTCCTTTATATGGAAAAATTAATCTTCACAATAGCCTTACAAAGGCAAGTACTGGTTATGATCTGTATAGGCTCAGACACAGCCAAGAGTGGGACAGCACAAGGGCATGAGATCAGTGGGACCCTGGTCCCTCCCCTTCTCTCAGGCTGCCAGGCTCCACAGGGACCTCTCCACCCGAATGCCCCCCCCCAGCTATCCAGGTCACTCACAGCTGGGCTTCTCCCTGCCCCCGGCCTGCCGCGCATGCCAGACTGTCATGCCGTCATTCTGAAGTCTGAAGTATCTTAGCTTCTTCCAGCTTTTGGACCTCACCTTGCGCATCAGTATGCCTTCTTGCATCATCAGCAGGTCCTGATCAGTGGTCAGCCCTGCACCAGGAGAAGCAGGGAGTAGGGGCTAGCAAGTAGGGTAGAGGGCCCAGAAGGAGCTGTGGAATACAAGTCCAGCCTCCTTCCCTTCCCTGGGCTGCCCTTAACCCTTCTTCCTCTGCAAGGGTACTCACGGTCTTGTAACAGGGACGCCATCATCCACTGCTCCACTAGCTGGTGCCAGAGACACCTAAAAGAACAAAGAGGAGCAAAGGGCTTGTGTGAATCTTAGAGATCTAGGGAGCAAGAGAAGAGGTCAGTGTTTTCTTAGTCTACATAGTCTGTAGTGATTTTTACTAATTTGAGTTTGTGACTCTGAGGTTTAGAGAGGATAAGATACTTGCCTCAAATGACATAAGGATTAGAATTTAAACCCAGATATGTCTGATCCCAGAGCCTCTGCTGTTTCCCATGGCTAACCAGAGAGGGCTAAACCAGGGCATCTGCCAAATTCCCTCTTTCTACCCCAAACCCTACAACCCACTAGGTAACCTCTCTCCACACCAAGTTCACTCCTCATCTCTTAATTGGGAACCACCATTTTGCTGACCAGCCCCTTTCAGAACCTGGAATCTCTCCACACCTTAGCTTTCTCTTCTCCAGGTGGAATCATCCCAGCTTCCCTCTTCTGGGACCCTTGTCCATGCACTCATGCTCCTGAAGGGATAGGGAAGCCTGACTGTTTGAGTCTCTTCTACAACACTGAATTATATTCTTCTATTTACATGATAAATCATATTTTATATTCTTTTTCTTCTCTTCCTCCTCCTTTTTTTTTTTTTTTTGTGCCAGGGATCGAACTCAGGACCTTGTGCTTGCAAGACAGGCAGTGGGATCACTGAGCTAAATCGCCGGCTCTCCTCCTTTTTTTGCGGTGCTAAGAATAAAACCCATTCAATCCCGGGCACCAAAAAAAAAAAAAAGAATAAAACCCAGGGGGGCCAGGGATTTAGCTCAGTGGTACTGCAGCCCTGGAAAGCGCAAGGTCCTGAGTTTGATCCTGGGTACCAAAAAGAAAAAAAAATAATGTAGCTCAGAGCTCGGCGTGGTGGTGCACACCTGTAATCCCAGCACATGGAAGGTTGAGGCAGTAGGATCACCAAGAGTTCAAGGCCAGCCTGGGCTACATAATGAGTTCAGGGACAGCCTGAACTACAAAGAGAGACCCTGCCTCAAAAAACCAAAAAAAAAAAAAAAAAAGTTACATAAATCAGAACTGCATTTGCACATTTGCCTACTGAAAAAGGGTACTTCCTTTAAAATACATACTGTCCAATTTAGGACCTGGCTAAGCTGTCCTAGCCTCTAACAACAAACTTTCCTTAAAAAGAGATAGAAGATTTAATATGTGTTCACTTTGATTTTAGTTTTTCCTAGTTAGTGGACCTTTTGACATTGTGCTGAAACTAACAAACCTCATGAGACATAAAACTATACTTTTGCATATGCAAAGGACCTACACTTGAATAGAAATATGCTATGGTTAATTAAAAAGTTTAAAATTTGATAGTAGAGAACATCTTTAACAGTTTTGAAAATCTGGAAAGCAGTCATTCAGTTAGTGTTCCATGAACACATCATATAGTTGACTCCTATATTTTAAAATACAAAAGTGTGTAAGTCTGGAAATGTGATGTGGCTTGTCTGAGGTCACAGATAGGGCATATTAGAGTCCCATCTCTCTAAAGATGGTATAAAGTCATTCAGGAGTGACTAAATCCTCAGGCAGAATGTGGGAGTTACTGAAAAAAACAGCTTCCCTGACTCCAGCACCTAGAGAAAGTTTCTAAAGGGATAGCAGAGTGAGAGGGGAAGGTTGGGAAGCAGTCTCTTGGGAGAAAAACAACCTGTGACAGCTCCAGGGAGAAAAGATTTTGATGTCTGAGGCTGAATATGTGTGCCTGCGTTAAGACCAGAAGAAATCATTGGATGGACGAAGGGACAAAAAGTGCTTCCTGAGAGACAGAACAGCAGTTCCTTTTTTCGGTGGGGACACAGAGTTTAGAATACGAGGCTTACAGAAGCTATACAAAGAATGAATTAGAAAGTAACATGGCTCAGATTCCTTGAGTCTTCAGACTGTTACTGGAGCAAGGTTGGACTGGGACTAATGTCTAATCTCTCAAGCCAACAGTTTGCCTTTGGTCCTCTCTAAACTGCAGCTCCCACCTCTGGGGCACAGGGATCCCAGGGTGGGCCTCAGGCCTGGGAGAAGAAAGAATTACTTTCCCTTCTACCCATGTCCAGGGGTCTCAATGATGTTCTGAAACACAGGAAACTTGAGAACAGAGCCCAAGTGGACATCCTTATTTTGGAGACTACTACCTCTTCGTTTGTTTGGCTTTTTTTGAGACAGGGTCTCACTATATAATTCAGGCTGGTCTTGAACTCACTATGTAGCCCAAACTGGCCTGAAACTTGCAATAATCAATCCTCCTGCCTCAGCTTTCCAAATGCTGGGATTACAGGCATGGGCACCGCACCTGACAAAGATTACCACCTCAAACACCACATGCGGGGGCCAGGGATTTAGCTCAGTGGTTTCGCTGCTTGCCTCACAAGTGCGAGGACCCGAGTTCAATCCTCAGTACCAAAAAAACCCAAAACAACCCACCTTTAAAAAATTATTTTTCCCTCCTTTGTCAGACTCTTCCATCCCAGAGCTTGGTCTTTCAAAAATCTAATCCTGATTGAATTCCTGAATCACTATTTTAAGCCTGTATCCAGGTAACATGTGGCCACAAGAGTGCCAGCTTCAGTCAACACAGGGAGATACATAATGACAAAGCTGGACTTCATTTTATAAAGAAGGGGATCGAGGACTAGAAAGACTGGCTGACCTGCCAGAGTCACTTATTGAGTGGCAGAATTGGAACTGGAACCCAGATCTCTATACAATCATCTAGGAGATCTAACAGAGTGTGCCAAGACTCTGCCTTAGAAACAGCCTTCTCTAGGAAACAGGTTAAAGCAAGGCTAGGAATCCATCAGGAACACTGACATTTTGTTTCTCTTCATCATTTCTGTTTCTCCTCTCCCTACCAAAGAGCTTTCTTTCTTCCCATATTCTTTCCTTTCCCCATGCCATTTTGATTCCATCTTTTTCCTTCCTTTCCAGCTCATTTCTTCTTCCCAGTCCTTTCTGTTTTCCTCTTTGCTTACTTAGATCCTCCTTTTTATTCTCCTCTTTGCATCCCTTCTCTCATCACCTCTTCCATTCACTTCCCTCCTTTGTCTTCACTAATTCCCAATATCTCTCATTCCCATCCTCTTGGAGGATTTTTGAGACTGTGGACACTCAGTAGCGTGTCCCTCTGCTCAGCCTCTTTTCCCTGTATCCTAGGAGACTGACTAAACAAAGTGCCCAGAGAATGAGAGCTAGAATCCAAGTATATTCTAGGTCTTGGTGTTTCTTCTGCTGTCTGAAAGGAGGGATAGTCACAGCTGATGCAAGTACAGTGGGAAGAGAAGGAACAAAGCATTTGGGAGTGGGTCCATTGGTAAGGGCCCTGAGGATGAAAACTGAGAATAAGAGAGTTTGGGTCTTAAATATTCATACATGGAGATCTTCAGGATATAATTACCTCTCTGATACAGATGTGAAAATAGACACATAAATTAGGAGAAAGCTTGGGGCTGCAGAGCAAGATTTGTCCTTTAACTTCTAAGTGGCTTCATGTCATCTAGAGTTGGACTTTGGTAGTGTCACCATTGATGCCGATGGCATTACAGTAGGACTCAAGGAGTCTGATTTGTCTCTGAGGGATAGAATGGCTCTGATCACAGGTCATAGCCCTCAGAATGTTAGAGTTTGAAGGCTCTTTTACAGCACATATAATCTAGAGGTTCATGGCTAAGTCAATATTTCTTGAAAAGTAACTTAAAACAGAGCTTCCTTAACCCTACCCTAGAATCTACCAAATCAAAAATTCCAAGTATAGGGCTCAAGAATATTTAACAAGCACACCTGGTACAGGTGAGTCTGGGAAACCCTAAACTCTCTTATTACAGATCAGGAAGTTGTAATCTAAAGTCCCATAGCATAGCACCAAGAAACTGCCCTGGATCATTAAGCAAGAGTAAGGCACAGGACAAAAACTCTGGCTTCCTTCAGGAAGTCTCATAACTCTCCCTGTTACGAAGAGTTCCTGACTCCCCAAAGTTTTAGCCATTCCTCATTTGGTAAACCTCAACAATCTGTTAATGAATGTATGCTAAAGCCTGTCTACTCCAAGTCTTTCTCTTCCCTTATTGGGGAAGGCTCGCCTCTGAGGAGTGGCTAGGGTCAGCACTCCTAGCCCTGGACAGCTAAGAAGTTTTCTCTTTATAAAGGGGTGATTGTGGGCCAGGGATTTAGCTCAGTGGTTTCACTGCCTGCTGCGCAAGTGCAAGGACCCGAGTTTGATCCCTGGTACCAACAAAACAAAACAAAACAAAAAAAACAAATAAAGGGGTGATTGAAATCAGGTGTGGTGATGTACAGCCATCATCCTAGCACTTGGGAGGCTGAAGCAGGAAGATCACAAGTTCAAGCCCAGCCTGGACAACTTAGAGACTTAGGGAGACCCTATCTTTAAAAATTAAATAAATAAATTACTAAATAAATAAATAATAAAAAGGGCCAAGAATGTTGCTCAGTTCGAAGCCCCTGGGTTCAATTCCTAGGACCAAAAAAATCCCCCAAAACAAAGCCCAAATAAACAAATAAACAATGAGTGATTGACACAGACAGGAGGAAAACTAATACAGGAGGAGGAACAGGAGGGAAACGGAAGAGTCCTGTTGAGCTGTTGGGTGAGGAAAGGAGTCTAGGATACAGTCTAATCAGGGTACGTAAGTGCCTAGAGGGCAGAGTTAGGGACTGGGGAGGTCAGAGCAGAGCTGAGTGGAGGCTAACTAGAGCCTCCAGATCCTTACCGTGGTGGGCAGGATAGCAGTCCTGTGTCCTGAGCTCTGTGATGCTCTCCACTGTGGGCTGAGGAAGCCCAGCCTGGCTCGGTTTCTCCTTTGCACTTGCTTGCTTCCTCCCCTCTTCTACTGCAGTTTGCTGCTATTACTGGCAGGGTTACAGCCAGAGGGAAGGAGTGGGGTGGGGAGAGGTGTAAGCACTTTCCTTAGTCCAGCCCATCCAGCTCTTAAAGGCCCAGGACACAGATCCACGTGAGAGTAGTAGGGGTGGAGGGGGATTAAAAGGAGGGATTGACTGGCAATGGATCTCCAGGGAGAAGCCTGGCTGCTCTTTATCTTGATGTTCACCCTCCCCCACAGCCCCAACTGACCCCAATCCTGCAGCAGCTCTCACAGTGGAACTCAAGGAGTGTCTGAATTGCAGTGCTCCTTGAATCACTGCTTTTCATTCCAGCGGGTCTCTGCATGTGCTACTGCTGGTTTTGCCCTCATTTCATCTGGCTGCTTTCCACAGTGTCTGTTTCCACCAGCATGCCTGTGTCTCTGCATCCTGCCTTGTAAGGCACTCAGTGGCATGCAAAGGAAGAAAGAAGTAGAATGAGAAAGGAGGAAGATGAGGAGAAAGAAACGGGGGGAATGACTGAGTGTCAAGGGTTGAGTCAGTATCTATGAACATTTAAGAGACTTGCTAAATATTGAAAAATGCACACATGAATGTGAAACAATTCATTTTTCTTCCTTTACATTCATTCATTCATTCCTTCTACAAGCATTTGCTCAGGGCTGGGACATACATCTGTGTTTACAGGGGCATGACTAGAGATGAAGTAGGGTCATGGTGTGTAAGAATTCAGAGTGGAGGAAGTACAGACTGGCAAGATGCTCATTAGGAAAGGGCGACAGTGAGCTCCTCACAAGGGTGAAAGATTAGGCAGAGGGAATGGAAACCAAGATTGAGGAAAGAAGGCCATGTTAGGAGCAGAATAGGGGATTATAAAGGGTTTACTGTATTATGACTCCATCCTTCACAATGGAAAACCGAGGTGCAGGGAATTTTATATGATGACCTAGACTTGCATGTGTCCACAGCAGAGACAACCAGCCCCTTGAACACCAACAGCTCTGTGACCTGGATCTGCTTTTGCTTTGCTTTGGGAGGACTATGGGGAGTGGCATTTTCTGGACCAGTGAATGACAGGCAGTTGAGGCACAAGGCACAGCCCTGTAACTTCTGTGGAATCCTTTTTCAATAAGGTATATTTTAATTTGCATTTTGTTTTTGTTTTTTTCCTCCGTACCCGGCATCAAACTCAGGACCTTGCACTTTGGGGGCAGGCGAGGCGCCACTGAGCTAAATCCCCAGCAGTAAGGTATATTTTAATCACAGGCACAGAGGGGACCAGCTGTGTGAAATGTGATTTTAAGTGTGCTAAGATCTGGCTGGCTCTCGTGGTCCCCCCAAATATTCCTCAACTGCCTAAAATTCTACCATTAGTGGCTATTTATAGCTAAATTTTTAGGTCCCTTAAATAGAATCTTACTAGATGATGACCATAAAATAAGGAAGAATTAGCTGGGCATGATGGCTCATGCCTGTAGTCCTAGCACTTGGGAGGCTGAGGCAGGAGGATTACTGTAAATTCGAGGCCAGCCTGGACTATATAGTGAGTTCAAGGCCAGCCTGGAGTACACAGTGAGACCGTGTCAAACTGAAAAAAAAAGAAAAGAAAAGAAAAGAAAAATTGTGATAGGATGGGGGTACATATACCTGGCTTTTGGAATAGCTGGCCAAGTTCTGTTTCTAGTTCTGAGTGCTAACAGGAGTCTCACTTTGTAATAATTTACTAAGCTATATATTTCTATCTGTAGTTTTCTATATCTATGCTATATTTTACAATTTTAATATATGTGCTGCTGAAGCGAGCATGATGCTATATTTTACAATGAAAGGATTTAAAACTTTTGCAACTAGGGTTTTTTTTGTTTTTGGTACCAGGGATCAAACTCGGGATCTTGTGCTTTTGAGGCACAGGTGGCAGGACCACCGAGCTAAATCCCCAGCCCAGGCAACTAGAAATTTTTGAAGACTTTTTTATACCACAGGTTTCCCTTGAACTCACTACAGCCCAGGCTGGCCTCCAACCTGCTGCAGTCCTCCAGCCTCAGCCTTCTGAATGCTGGGATTACAGGCACCACCATGCCTGGCATTAATAGTTTTAAATAATTTTTACCTAGGTTAGAATAAGCAAACTCTTTTACTGAGACCAAGTTTTGTTGTTGTTTTGTTTTAAAACAGGGTCTCATATAGTTCAGACTGGCCTTGAACTACATAGCCCAGGCTAGTCTCAAACTCCCAGTGATTGTCCTGCCTTAGCCTCACAAGTGCTGGGATTATAGGTGTGTGCCATCATGCCCAGCTACTGAGAGCAGGTTTGGATAAGGGAAGAAGAGTACGAAGGGAGGGGAATCATTAAAAGGGAGGACATTCACTGGGAAAAGGAAGAGTAGGAGGAGCATCAAAATGTGAACGCTGATTTCAGATTTGATTAGTAGCAGTCTTGCCTCCTGTGCTTGCCTAGCTGTCCCATTTCTACCTGCCCGACAGCAGCATCTCCTTTTTTCTGAGCTTCATCCTCACATTCTCCCTTTCACCCCATTCCTCTTTTAACTCCAAGACTATATACATCTGCCTCCCCTTGAGTCCCTATAAGCTCAATGCTGCCAAACCTTTCCTCTGGGGGTGATCTGTCACAGGTGTTAGCACTCACCCTGGACCTTCCAGGAGTGCAGATCTCAAACACTTATAGTTTGTTTCAGCATTCTCATTAACACGCCACTACTCTTCAGACTGAGTGTTAGGGTTTTGGGGGTGAGGACTCAGAGACTAACAAGGTTAGTATGGCTTCAGGGTGCTCAGAATGCATAACCTTCTAAAAGACTCTCATTAGATCCAGAGAAAGCAGACAAGGCCCTAGGCACAGGAACTGGCCATCGGGTTTGGTAATTCCTATTTCTGCAAAGATCCTGGCCCTCCCCCCTCAGCTGCCTATTATTAACAGATGCAGAAATCTAATCAGGGCAGCGGCAGCAGAGGGACTTTCTGGGAACTGTGCCCAGGAAAGGTCTAGAAGTCTAAATTAAAACAAAGCAGCCGCTGGCAGGAGACCTAACCACAGTACTCTTACCCTGGCATCCAAGCCTGCCTAGGCCCTCTTCATCCAGGGCCAACGTTTAGGACATTCAGGCCGGCAAATCCAAGCTCAGTTCCCCAGCTTATCTAGCTGAACTACTCAAAATTCTGAAATAAAGCATCTTCGTGGTGGTCAAAAAGGCAACTAAAAATATTACATTCCCTCTAAGAATCTTAAATATGAGACCACCTGTAGAACTAAAAGCTAGGATATAGTGTCAGACCAGAGAATATATAACTACTCTGCCATTCCTGCATAATCAAAAGTTATATTTCTATCACTTTACTCAAGTGATGGTGAGGCGGTATTAAAAAAACACTATGAAAATGATAGGTTTTAATAATAAAGACTACAGGGCTGGGGATTTAGCTCAGTGGCACCGTGCCTGCCTCACAAGTGCAAGGTCCCGAGTTCAATCCCTGGTACCAGGAAAAAAAAACCCCACATAAAATAAAGACTACAAATGGTATAATATTCCATACCAAGACAAACTTTCATAAAGGATCATAACAACAAAATGTTATTTTTAAGAGTTTTGTCTACAAAAAGGTTGAAAATTTAAAGGAAGGTATCTGGGAATGGAAAGCCTACAATATTTTAAAATTTTAAGGTTGCTTTGGTGTTATGGCAGAATTTCAGAATCCGCCTGTCAATTTTCACAAAAATTAAACTGCTGGGATTTTACTTAGAATTGAGTTTAACCAGGAGATGAATTTGAAAAAAAACCTGGCATCCTATAGTCCTTTCCTATCCATGGAGATGATACATACCTTCATTTATGTCTCTCTCCTGAATGTGGTTTTTCAATGTAGAGGTTCTGTACACCTTCTGCTGCACCTATTTCTAGCTACTTGACTTAGGCTATTATACATTGTTTTTGAAGCTTCATTTTCTATTTATTGTTTTATATGTAGAGGAATGTAACTGATTTTGTTTGGTATTCTGTGACCATGCTAAATTCACTTAATTCTAAGAGTTTGTAGACACTTTTGGAGTATTTATGCACACAATCACTCTCAGCACACACTGAGATTTTTCCTTTTCTTTTCCAATTGTTTTATTTCCTTGGTCTATCACACTGACTGGGAAATGATAAATGGAGATTTGATAGTGGACATCTTTGTTTCACTCATAAAGATTTCAGTGTTTATTGGGAGGTTTACTACTGTAGGATTTTTGCTGATAATTTATTAGTCATTCATTTCTATTCCTGGTTTTCAAAGTTGCCCACCTCCCTTCTTTTTGAAGTGTTGCTGGGGATTGAACCCAGGGTCTTGTGTATGTTAAAGTGACATGCTACTAGTGAGCTATATCCTTTAAAAAAAAATGGGTATGTTACATTCTATAGGGTCTTTTTCTGCATCTATATAAATGATTTTTTTTTTGAGACAGGGTCTCACTATGTAGTTCAGGTTGGTCTTGAACTTACTGTATAGCCCAGTCTGTCCTACAACTCATGGTGATCCTCCTGCCTCAGCCTCCCCAGTGCTGGAATTACAGGCATGCAGCTCCACGCCTGCTCTCCTTTTAAGTTGATTACTTGAACTGCACTGATTGATTAGTTTAATAGAGTCAGTCTTGTATTTTTGCAATAAACTCAAATTATGTATTTTGATATATATTGCTAGCTTTGCCTTTTTGTACATGTTGGGACTTGAACCTAGATGCTCCATCCTGTCTCCTTGCTTGACACACTGTATTGCTCAGAACGGGCAATCTTCCTGATTCAGCCTCTCACAAAGCTGATGTCCAGGAATTGTCTATATTCACAGCAGAGGCTGGCCCTTGGTTATCCTGGAAATGTTCTTGCCATTCTGATGGCTGGGTAATGCTGCTTTGAAAGTAAACTGGGATCTAGTCCCTTTTCCTAGTCTGGAAAGTTATGAGATCAGTCACTAAGACAGGAGGTGCTGTTCCCTAATCAGTCTGCTAAGGGTTTATCAATTCTGATCTTTTCCAGGGACTCTTTACTTGGAAATTGTTTTATGTATGTTTTCTATTTCAGCAACTTTCTAAAATATTCTACTTTTTGAGACAGGGTCTTACTATGTAATTCAGGCTGACCTTGGAACTCAGTGGCAACCCTCCTGCCTCAGCCTCCCAAGTACTGGGATTACAGGGGTGTACCACCACACCCAGCTTTTCCTTCTACTTTTTGAATTTACTATTATTTTCCAGTTTCTTGACATGAAAAATTAATTTCTGAATCTCAGGCTTTCTTCTTTTGTAATATGTGAATTTATAATGTGAATATATAATTTCTTTTAAAAGCACTGCTTTAGCTGTATACCTCAGGTTCCAATGACATTATCTTCAATACCATTTAACTCAAAAGACTAGTTTCTCATGTGATTTCTTCTTTGATCCATGTGGTTTAGAACTATAATGCCTAAGTTTTAAACAAGGAATTTTCAGTTCTTTTTCCTAGCTTGAGCTCTCTATGGTAAAAGAACATCCTATTGTTTTAATTTTTCTGAAAAATCTTGAAGATTGCTTGGTGGTCCTGCTAGGATCAACCCTAGTAAATCTTCAGGTGCAATTAACGGCAGCACAGGGCTATAATCCCCAGCACTCAAGGGGCTGAGGCAGGAGACCATGAGTTTGTCAGCATGAGCTACATACATAGCAAGACTGTGTCTCCAAATAAATACTCCTCCCAAGAATGAACACACACACACACAGAGTCGGGTAAGAGTGCAGTGTGTTCTATGTATGTCAATTAAACTAGGTGGATAGTTCAAATTTTTACTTGTTATACCTGCTTTTGGAACAATTTAAAATACTTCTCCAACAATCAAATTCCACAACATATCAGGAAAGGAAAAAAATCTCATTTCATTCTATGGTTCCCTATTTCAAATGTCTTCAAACTTTTTTATTTATGGTGCTGGGGACTGAACCCAGTTCCTTGTGTATACTAAGCATGTGCTCAAGTACTGAGCTGGACTCTAGCCCTCCACGAATTCTTGATATAGGAGTAACTTTCTATGTCCCTCTTTTCCTAACCTTTGTACAGCACTAACAATGAGCAGAGGCATCCTCTGTAGATAACAAGGAAGGGATGCTCTAAAGGCTACTGATGCTTCTCTTTGCTCTACCACTGAAACACTCACAGGCCTTCTAAAGTCCTTGAAAAAAGAAGCTGGAAGTATCTTGCTAAGGGCCGGGCACGGGAACAACTCTAAAGGTGAGCTTCAAGCCCTCCACTCCAGAGATGAATTACCTTCTCACAGAAACCTTTCTACTTACTGGCAAGAAAGCCAGAAGACAGGGCCTGTTTCTGCAAGACACTTTTTCTTTCGTTTTGATTACTGGGGACTAAGCCCAGGGCTTTTGCACTGAGCTACATCCCTGGTGCTTTTTAATTTTAAGACAAGGTCTTGCTAACTGGATAACTTGCCCCAGCTGGACTTGAACTTACAACTTTCTTGTCTCAGCCTCCCAAAGTGTTGAGATTACAGGCATGTGCTGCCATTCCTTGCTGCAAGAGACAATTTATCAGGTAAATGGCACCATCCCACCCTCCCAAACAGCTTTTGTACATCAGCTGCAGTCTTCTAGACTCCTAAAGGACCTATCCATATAGGAACGACCATTACACTCATGGTAGGGTAATGTATGTGCATAATGTGTGACAAGGATCATCTGACCAAAGTGCCTGGGTATCTGTTGACAGAATAAAATCTCCAGTTAAAAGGAAAAGTTATTTTTACAAAAACAGAAGCATGTTTTATTTCAGTCCTGTTGAGTGAGAGGGATGGAAAACACAAAATAAGGGGAGGGGTCTCTTTATACAATACACAAAACATCAAGACCAACCACAAGGAATAACACCCATTCTGCCCCTCCCCCAACAACTCCTACGTGGGTTCCAAGGCCTGCTGAGAATAGATGGGACAAGAATTAAGACACTATTGGCACAGTAACATGGCCAATGCACCGAAAGATGGAGAGAATGTTCCAGGGAGCAAGGCCCTGGGCCTCAGCTGTTTCCCCAGTGGAGGGGGAATGAGAAAACTTTGGCTCAGCAGGAAGGCGGTTGTCAAAAATCAGGGTTACCCTAGGTGGGCTCTCCAGATCACAAGCTGTGGGCTGAAGGAAGTCAAGACATCTTATCTAGTCCATGCTAGTTTCTGCTTTCTCCAAGACCTCTCCTCTTCAGATTTGGTTCTCCTCTTCATTTTGGAAGGCAGAGGAATAAGTGCTTATTCTACCCTTCCTACATCTAGGCTATTTACTGCTTTCTTGGCTTTAACGAGACAGGAGCCAACTAACAAGGCCGGCTTCCTTTGTGAAAGTCGGCTTGAAAGAGCCCTTGAGTTGGCAATACTGCCTCTGCAAAAGATTTCTGAACTTGCCCTTGTAGATCCTCCTCAAATTTGTTCAGAGACTATATCTTCAATTGTATGAGATGTGGACAGAAAAGACTTGGTCCTTCTCTAGAGCTGGACCAGCAAACCCATCTCTGACTGGAGATGGGGATGACAGAGAGCAGGTACTAACAGGAAAGGACTGGGGAAGGCAAGGCAGATTATAATAGATTAGGTTCAAGCCTGTGGATTGTGAACAGAACAATCTAAAGCTCAGGAAAAGGAAGGGAAATTCTCCAACACAATATGAACAAGTGAAAAATATTTTAGTGACAACCCTGTAATTCCCATGGACAAAAGAAAAAAAAAAAAAAGACTGAGTCAGCAAGCAGAGTCCAGTCCTCCATCTTAAATGTGAATAAAATACAGCCATTCAGCTAATACTGCTTCAAATACAATCATGAAGACAGATGGAATCCTGAAATTCATACTAAAAGAATGGGATCAGGTGACCTAGCACCTTAATCCCAGGCACCTCTCATTTAAATGTCATCTGGAATATATCTCTGAACAGTTGAATTTGAAGACTCCCACCCCTCTTTCCACAAAATAATACCCTTTCAGGATAGCAGATGAGTTAAGACATCTATTTTAAGTTTAATAGGAGGGAAATGGAAAAGGAAAAGCACTGCGATTTGGAAAAACTAGCAGTTAAAGCCAGAAACAAGGTTAAGGTCCTCATGGCACCCAGGAGTAGGAGCAGAAGAATGGAAGGAGGGAAACAAGCGGAGTTTTCCTGCTGTCCTTTGGCTCTACATCTTTCCCCTGCCTCCCATTCCTCCCAACAGCCTGATGCAGCTATTGGCCTGCCAGAGGGGATGTAATGCCCAGACCAACTTTTTATTGAGCTTATGCAGCTAACAGACTTGTAAACAGTGCCAACTAAGTTTTGCTGAAAATTACAGCTTGTGTCCACTAACACACCTCTCTCTAGGTTAAAAACAAAAAAACCGAAGTAAACAAATACTGAGAGAGAGAATTAAGAGACACATCTTGAGTCTTCCAGGAAGGCAAAGTAAAAAACGCCACATGGCTTGGTCCCAGGCGCTCACCATGCCTAGAGTGCTGCTGCTATTACCACTGTCTCCCCTCTCTGCCAATAGCTAGGCAGAGGAGGGGGGAGCAGGGTCATCTTGGGCATGCTGCAAATACAGCATTTGCTGGTGCTGACACCCTTCTGGGGCTGTGGTGGCAGACTGCTGTGTCAGGAGCCCATTTCCCAGGAGTAGCCGAGGGAGCCCAGGTCCTCAAGGCAGCCTGAGATGACAGCCCACACACCTCAGCAGGGGTACCTTGCCCCTTTTCTCCAGTGCAGTTCAGCATTGAGGTTGTCTATTCCCGGTCGGCGATAAAACCTGAGCTGTTTTCCTCGTGGTTTCCCCTCCCTTCCCCAACTTGGGGGAGCAGTGGGAGGAGACAGGGGAGGATCACTGAGGGGGCAGGGGAATACCCCGGGGATCGGTGACCTGGCCCTCTTGCAGGTTCTTCACCAGTTGTGCAAGCCAGCGTTTCGTGGTGGTGTCATCTTTTAGCACCTGGGCAAAGGTTGTGTCCTTCAGCTGGTCAGGGAGGCACTGCCTGAGTGCTTCACGTGCCCTACATCAGAAAAAAACAAACCAACCAGGGAGACCAACAAATAAACCCAGATTTGGGGGCTAGGGAAGAGCCCCTTTCTTAGACACAAATATACAGTATTTGGGAATCTAACTCTGTCAAGTTATATTAAGAAGCCATTAAAATACTCTAAAGCTTGTATCAGACATTGGTTCAAAGATCTCTAGGATCTGTAGTCTGCAAACATTTTCAGAATGATGTCCCAGTGTAGAATTTCATGCAAAGCAAAATGGAATAAAATGGTGCAATAGTTTACTTCATTTCAAACTGCTTTTGATTTATTACAATCAATAATGTCAAAATATCATGTTAAAATAGATGAATTATAGTAAATGAAATATTCCAAAAACCATTAACAGCAGGTATGACCTCACTTATATATGATAACGAATTTTCATTCTATTCTAACTTATCAACTTATGTCTTTACAGAAATAGTTTCAATTTTATATTAAAAACCTTAATAAGAGATGAATCATGAAAACAAAACTATGGTAGCAGCATTATCAGATGAACTTTAAATGTTTCATTTTCTTTGAAATGATGAACAGCAGAAAGTCAAATCTGAAAACCTAAAAAAGGTAAATGTTAACTATTTATAGGGCTATTCTAAACAAAGCTATAGTTCTTGTACTTAGGTAAGCAGAATTTTAAATAAACATATTTTCAAACTTTGGTGACAGCAGAAACTACTGAAGAACAGGACAAAATTGCCAAGAGAAACAGGAAAGGCTTGAATAACTTCAGTGGCAAGAAACTGAGTTCACAATAAATCAAGTTATCCCTCTTCCTAGGAATGCAGAAGTCACTCCATTACGTGGTTTGTCAGAATCTGAGCCAATGGCTTTCAGCATAAATTATGGATTTACAAAGCAGAAGGTCAAACATTTCTAAAATGCATTATATCCACAATGTATGATTCTGGCAGAAAGATTATGAACTTAGGAAAATAAAACAATTATCTCAATGACCTCACAGCAATTAGAGAACTGGAAATATAATTTAAGAGCCCTGTAGGCTATGGTCCTTTCTAAGAGATGTTTGAAAGTATACTTCTCTATCTGACCCTTTGTACTATCAATTGAAAGCTCAAACCACATCAAAAAGCTTCCCCTGGAATTAGAAACCTGCATTCTGGAAATTCAATATAAGATAATTACAATGGGAAGATACAACTCTGATGGAGTTTTAAATTTAGCACTTTAGATTTTAAAAGGAATTTATTCTGTTCCAGACAAACTAAATATGGTTAAATCCTTTCCATCTCCTAAAGACAAAAGATCTATGTCATGAGATGGGGAATACAATTCAGCAGAATATTTCCTTAAAGTTCTCTAAATCCTATAAATGTTTACCTGGGATTATCTGAGAGTCGAAGGTAACATCTTACTACATGCTTCAGTAGACGAGCAGAAGGCTCTTTGGATAGCTGCAGGACCATTTTACCCTGTTTTGCCCAAAATAGGAAGGGGGTAGGAGAAAAAACACAAAATATAAAATAATTGTAATTGACATCAGAGATTAGATTGTTCAAGAATCATTATAGAAGCCTCTAGAATTATTTAAGTTAGAAGACTATAGCTGCTCCAGGGCCAACTGCAAAGAGTCTACTCTGTGTGATTAGAAGTACACAGTAGTCGAAAATGAGGCAGATGAAGGAACTCACCAAGATCATAGCAACATGGGAAAAACGCTCATATGTCTGACATATGTAAGCCAAACCAGTGTCATCTAAGAGGATCTTCTGGAGGATGAATGTGGCAACCTGGAGTAAAACAAAGTTTAGAAAGTTGCTCAAATTTACTATCCAATTGTCTCTTCATTGTCCCAGGCATACATCAATCAGAAAACTGAGCATGCAGAGACTCTTGTGTATCTTGTACAACTCATTCTACTATATATGTGTAGTACAGAAAATTCATAAATACTACTATACTGTCAGAATTTTTTTCTGAAGACTTTACATGCCTTATGTTCACAATAAACCTATAAGGTAAATACTGTTATTCTCATTTTACATAAAACAAGAGGGAAATTCTAAGTAATTATCAGATTCTAAAAGCTGAGGAGGCTCGGTTATTGAACAACTATGTGCAGGTTAAGGTCCCAAGTGACAAAGCTACCAAGTGGCAGAACTGAGTGCCAAACATTATTTGAATACTACAGCCTCTTCTCTTTTCTGTGGGCCAAGAGGATTTTAGACATTCAGTTATGTTTCACCTCTTCCAAGTAAGGAAAATATGCCTTTTCTGTACTTTAAAAGATTTTTTGTTTTGGTTTTTGAGACAAGGTCTCACTGTGTAGTTCATGCTGGCGTCAAACTTATGGTGATCCTCCTACCTCAGCCTCCCAAGTGCTGGGATTATAGGTGTGCACCATCATGCCTGGCTTGTTCTTACAAGATCTTCCTTTTTGAGCCTTTCTTTGAAAATTATTCTAACACTAATAAACTCTGACTATAAAGCTTATATCCGACTCAATTTCCCCTCTCAATTTAAGGCCATTAACTTTTACACGGAAGAGATTTAAAAATACTAGTTTAATTCATATCAGACAATTATTATAATGATTCTCTTCCTTGGCTGCTCAACAAAACCAATTGTGGAAATTACTGTTTTACTGGGGTGTAACATTGTGGTAGGTTGAACAGTGGTTCCCAAATAGGTTCTAATCATCAAATCCTGAGAATGTTGCTTTATATTTATATGGTAAAAATAAGATGAGATTAAGGATCTGTATATAGAGAGATTATTCACACAGGCCCTAACTGTAAATTTCCTTATAACCAAGAGATAACTGGGCATGGTGGTACACACCTGTAATCCCAGGACTCAGCAGTCAGGAGGATCATCATGGGTTTGAGGCCAGCCAGGGCTACAAAGTGAATTCAAGACCAGCCTAAACTACTGTTCATAGTGAGACCCTGTCTCAAAAACAAAAAAAGGGAGGTAAAGAAAGAGATTTAACCACAAAAAAGATGGCAATATAAGGTTAGACAGATTTGAACCTGCTTCAGCATTGGCTTGGCTCTGCAGATGGAGTCAGGGGCCAAGGAATGTAAGGAATAAAGTTCCAGCTGGAAAAGGTAAGGAAAGGGAATCTCCTCTATAACCTACAGGGAGCATTGCCCAGCCTACATCCTGACGTTAGCTTATTATAAATGATCTGTAGTTTCCAAAACTGTGACAATGTATTTGTATGATTTTAAGTTTCTAAACTTACGGTAATTTGTTTTAAGAGCAACACAAGGCAATACAAACACAGTAAAATATGTAAATGCACTAATCTTAAGTGCCCCTTGATGAGTTTTTATCTACATACACACCTGTGTACTGGAACAAGATTAAAATGTTTCTGGCAGCTCAGAATTCTAGCACTCCCTTGTACCTTTCCCTAGGAAATATCCAAACTTCAGAGGTAACCATCATTCTAACTTATTGCCATTAATTGGCTTTGCCTGTCCTTGAACTTCACATAAATGAAATCATACAGTACCAACTCATATGTGTCTGGTTTTTCATTCAACATGCCTATGAGAGTCATCCATGATACATACATCAGCAGTTCAAGCTTTTTAATTACTGTGTGGTTTATTTTGTGACTGTATTACAACAAATTCATCCTTTATAAATAAAGCCACTATCAACATTCTAATATATATTTAAATGCACATGAGAATCCATCTCTCTTGAATATATATATAGGAGTCATGTATACGTAGGAGTCAATAAATATGTTGGGTCATAGATAGGCTTATGTGTAGCTATTTAGTGGACCCTGGCAAACAGCTTTCCAAAACAGTTAACACTATACATTCACCTAGAGAAATTTAAATACATACATAAACACACACAAACACACACACACACACACACAAACACGACCAAACTTTACCATCCTGGGGAATGATTCAGTAGGTTATAGGTGGGACCTGGACATTTATATTTCTAAAATATTTCACACAGCAGCCCTGACAATCTTTACTATACTGGGTACCTATTATAAACAAAGTATAATACTAAGTGCTGCATATAAAAAGTGAATGATTAGGGTCTATGTGTGCATGGCACAAAGGAAGAAAAGCCAGAAAAAGGGTAGGATATAGGAACTATTCTAGCTGGACACTTAAAGGCCAAAAACCTAGAGACAGGATGGATTAATTTTAGCTCTGGACAACTGGAAAAGGGAAGGATCGTTAGAATGGGGGTTCCTTGGAATAGGAAATAATCAAATTCCTTATTGTGGAAAATTAGAAAAATACAGATAAGGAAAAAAGTTAAAATTCTATAATCCCACTATTCCAAGATAATCACTATATTCTCTGGGGTATATGAGGTGGGACTGAAAAATATAGTGTGCTTAAATTACTTCAACATACTTATCCCATCATTTTTGCCACTTCCTGGAACAGTTCTGGAAGTCTTTTCTTGTGAGTGTCTTAGTTGCACTGTTGTGGCTGCCTTGATGACCTAACCTGACTTAAACCAATTACCTTTTGTGGTCATTTTGACTTTGAGGAAGAACCAGAAGTTACATGGTGCCAGATCCACTGTGTAAGGTGGATGAGAATACACTATAATGCAGAGGTGGCAAACCTATGGCACACATATTGCAGCAGGCTGTTTGTTATCATTGAAAGCTCTTATGTTATCACTGCCATGTTTTTATGAACATGCTTTTTTTGTCATTACTGCCATGTTTTTATGAACATACCTTTTTTGTTGGATGGCACTTGGCAGGGGTATTCAATGTATTTTTGATCATACTTTGCAAAGACACTCAATGACAAAGTTCTTCCAGAACTGCTTCGGAAAGTGGCAAGAATGATGACTTAAGTGTGTTTGAAGAGAGGGAGTACTTTAAGGGGGATTAATGGCAATGTGTCTTTTACTGTAAATTTTTTTTGCATTTAAAATATTCACTGTATCTTTCAGTCTCCCCTTCTAAGTTCACCTAGACATCTTACTTTGTTCAACATAAAATTTAATAGTTTGGCTGGGCATGATGGCATAAGCCTATAATACTAGATCTCCAGGAGGCCTGCAAGTTAGAGCCCAGGCTAGACAACTTCATGACTTAGGGAGTCCCTGCCTCAAAATTAAAAACAAAGTTGGGGCCAGGGATTTAGCTCAGTGGTTCCACTGCCTGCCCCGAAAGTGCAAGGTCCCGAGTTCAATCCCCAGTATTAAAAATAAATAAAAAAATAAAAATAAAATAAAATAAAAACAAAGCAAAAAAAAACAAAATCCCACAGAATGTAGTTCATGTATTTTGAAATGAGGTCTTATTACATTCCCCAGCGTGGTCTCAGACTTGTGCACATCAGTCATCCATCCAGTTCAGCCTTGTAAGTAGCTGAACTACAAGCATGTACCATCATGCCTGGATTATAATCGTGTCAGGTCCCCAAATCTCAGAAAATTTGAGTAAACAGAAGCTTTTCAACATAAGAACTTAAAATTTATAAATATTTATAGATATGAACAAAACTATGTTGTAGAGCAAAAACTATTTCAATGCTCTCAATTTAATAATACTGCACAATCACTTTATAAAATTGAGCTTCTCTTTGAGGCTTAACAACCACAATTTACCCCATCTATCTGATGAGGGAAAAGTAGTGAGAAGGTAGAAAATGCTGTTAGGAAGAGATACTTATAATGGAAGCAGAGACTTGAAAAGATCAAAATTGAAAGTGATGGGAAAGCAATGAATATGACAAGGTACTTATATTGCTTTTTGCTTTTTTGAGACAAAGGTCTTGCTATGTAGTCCAGGCTGGCCTTGAACTCACTCTGTAGACTAGGATGGCCTTGAACTCAAAGCAATCCTCCTGACCAGCATCCCAAGTGCTGGGATCACAGGTGTGTGCCATCACACAGAGCATCCATGACAAGATACTTATGCCCTATGTCTTAGTCTCCTGAGTAATTTGGGAATCACTGTATCAATTATGCTGAAGTACAGTTTGACAACTGGAACAATTCTGAAAGATAAGGAACAGATCATGCAACATATGAATCTATCTGTGTTTGTGCTCTCAATAATAGTCAAGCCAGGGCTGGGGATTTAGCTCAGTGGTTCTGCTGCCTGCTGTACAAGCGCAAGGACCTGAGTTCGATCCCCCGTACCAAAAATAAATTAAAAAATTAAAATAAGTAAAATAAAATAAAATAAATAAAATAAAAAAAAATAATAGTCAAGCCAGACATAAGGATAAGTGACAGCCAAAAATGGAAAAGTTTCTGAGTCGGTGGACAGAGAATCGGTATTGATGTCACATGCCTATTAGCCTCATAAATTCGGGAGAAGGCTAGGTTCTTAAACATTTTGTGTCTTCTGGGGAAAAGGGTGTCATATATTCCCCTTTGGGCATCTGAAGAGAGCTATGAACTCTTTGGAAGTAAAGTACTTGACTTAAAGCTGATGTCATAGTCACGTATGGTGGCACTAGGCTGTAATTACAGCACTCTGGAAGGCTGAGGCAGCAGGATCGAGAGTTTGAGCCCAGCTTGGGCAATAAAAGATAAAAAAGGGGCTGGAGATGTAGCTCAGTGCAGAGGCCCTGGGTTCAATCCCCAGTACCCACCCCCCCAAAAAAGAAATGCAAGGAATATGTTATTCTGAGAAATTTTGACATAAGATTATCAAATAAATTTCAAAAATTATAGAGAAGAAGGAAATTTCATTTACAAAGGGAAAATGTGGCTGGCCTAAGCCTTCACGGCAACATTCAATGCCAGGAGACAACAGGGCTAGGGTAACAGAACTCTTAGAGAAAAGTGAGACAGGAATTTTATCTATAGTTATGCTGCCGTCCACGGTTAAAGTTCACAGTAAACAAAAGCTCAAGAATATATACTTGACTACGCATAAAAAGGCTGGAATAATACACTTATGCATTACCTGTAGAAGATGTAGGTTCAAAGAAAAAAAGTGTTTAACTTGGGTGTTTTGTTTTTTGTTGCGATACTGGGAATTGAACCCAGCGGCCCCCCATCCCCTTTTGGTTTTTTGAGACAGAGTCTTGTTATGTAGCCCAGGCTGGCCTCAAACTTGTGACGATTCTCTTGCCTCAGCCTACCCAGTGCTGGGATTATAGGCGTGTGCCACCACACCTGGCTTTTGCATTGAGCTATATTCCCTGACAAGGTTTTACTAAATTGCTAAACTGCCCAACCTGAGCTCAAACTTTTGATACTCCTACCTCAGTCCCCCAGAGTGCTGAGATTACAGGCATGCGCCACTACACCTGGGTAGATCTGGTTTTTCTTTTGGTATTGGGGATTGAACTCAGGACCTTGCGATTGTGAGGCAGGCACGGTGCCACTGAGCTAAATCCCCGGCAGATCTGCGTTTTTTAATGATCATTTTATAACATTTTTATTGAAAAGAAAAATATCCATAGAAGGTAAAAAGCTGGAAACAGGCAGAAAATGAATCTAGATTGTAAAGAAACTACTCAAGAGCCAAAACAATGTACCGTTTTAGAAAGCTCACTTCCAGATTCCATAATGCGCAAACACAAAGGAATAATTTCTGTTGTCAATAAAAAGTTGATTACTTCTTGCTCATCTGTTTTCACCAAGGCCCCTAAGAAAATATGAACAAAGAAAATTATTTTAGAGCCAGAGCTTCCAGTTAAATGAGGTATGTATTGTTCACCAAGAAAGTTGTCAAATTTAAATAACAGAGTACCAATCTGTGGCTTCTATGTCAAGGAATCAGATTCATACTAATGTAAAAAACAAAACAATAACAACAAAAAAAAACAAAAAGAGAAAAAGAAAAGCACAGATTGACTTCATTAGTTAGCACTAAAAGATGAGGGACCAAGTTTGGTCCATCACGTAGTTAGCAGTAGTTTAGTTATCTAAATATTTTTAGCATTCTTGTTAGATAATCTTACAATAGCATGGAGGTCTATAGTCCACATACTTTAGGTAAGCAGGACTACACTAATACATACAGTATTGATCATCCTACATCAATCAGTATTAACCCATAGTCCCAGGTAACAAAGAAATAGTGCCAGTCAGAATCCTACTTTAAAGTAGGTATAAACAAACATTTCTCTCTGGTTGTCTTTCCCCCAAAGAGCATAAACACTGTAGGGCACAACCAGGAGAAAAAGTTCCAAACAAGAAACAACACACTTAGATTCTAATGTTGGTTCCACAATTAGCTTACCTGTTTGATAAAGTTACTCTGCCTTTGTAGGTCTGTTTCTTTTCTTTTTTTGTGAATCTAGGGTCTTCACTGAGCTACATCTCCAGTCCTTTTTATTTATCATTTTTTAAAGTAGAGGAGATTGTGTGTATACTTTATTTTTTATTTGAGTTGGGTCTCACTAAGTTGCCTAGTCTGGTCTTGAATTTACAATCCTCTTACCTCAGCTTCCCAGAGTGTTGAGATTACAGGTATATACCACCATGCCTGGCTCTGCAGGCCTGTTTCTTTATAAAATAAGTTGGAATAGCTGACTTCTAAAATTCATCCCAATTCTAGCCCCTGTTATTATCAAGTAATAATGCTGACCAGGTAGACCGATATCTTTTCCATTTTATATGCAGGGAAGCTAATGACTGTTCCTTGAGCTGCCCAATGCATCCAAGGTTCTCATAAGGGCTCCCTTCCTGGCTTTAGAAGTCTACATTCTTGCTGTGTTCTCCCATGATAGGGACAGAAAGAGAGGAAGCCCTCTGATGTCTCTGCTTATAAGGATACTAATCTTACCTTGAGTGTCATACTCTCATGTACTTATCTAAATCTAATTCCTTTCCCAAAGCCTCATCTCCAAATGCCATCACATTAAGGGGTAAGGTTTCAACATATACAAATGTGAGGAGGATACAGTTTAGTTCATAGTAATCAATTTGTCAATTTCTGTAAGAAAAAAAAATCCTGCTAGGATTTTGTTCCAATTGCTCTGAATCTATAGATCAGTTTGAGGAGAGATAAACAAAATAAAACCCCAAAACCCCAAACAAACTAAAAAAACCAGTGTTGGGGATCAAACCTAGGGTCTAGTGCTTGCTAGGAAGTACTACACCTCTGTGATCTACATTGTAGCTCAAGAGCTGACATCTTAACACTGAAATAAGAATATACCAATGAACATCTGCAATTATTTGTCTCTTTAAAAAAAAAAATTCTATCCCAGGATAAGGGATGTAACTCAGCGAGGCAGTACCTGCCTAGCAAATGAGAGGCCCTGAGTTTGATTCCTGGCATATATAAAAAAAATTCAATTTCCAATTGTTTACTGCCAATACAAGAAATATTATTGATTTTTGTATACCAACCATATAGCCTATGACCTTCCTAAATTTACTAGTCCTAGTAGGCTTTGGGGGTGGGAGAGTCTTTGTGATTTTTCTATGTAAGCACATTGTCTGTGAATAGTTTTATTTTGTCCTTTCTAATTTATCAATTTTTTTCTTGTCTCACTACACTAACTAGAATGTTCAGTATATTAAACAGGACCAGTAAGAATAGACATTCTTACTTTATTCTCAATTTTAGGGGGAAGTATTTTGTTTTTATAATTATAATCTTAACTATTGGGTTGCTGCCTGAGAAACTTCTCCTGTATTCCTAGTTTGCTGAGGAATTTTTTTGGAGTTCTGAGGTTGGAACACAGGGTTTTATATATGCTACCACTATACTGAGGGGTTTTTTGGGGGTACTGGGGATCGAACTCGGGACCTTCTGCTTGCGAGGCAGGCATGGTGCCACTGAGCTAAATCCTCAGCCCTAAATTGAGTTTTTTTATTAAAGATTTTTTTTGTATCGGTACATTTTAGATATACATATTGATAACATTCATCATAGGAAATTTGAACCTACACATGGTATTTCTTGCTTTTTCCCAACATTCACCTCCCCTCCTGTGAACCCTCTTCCCCTCTTTACCAAAGCTTTGTTTCCATTTTTTTCTATTCTTTTTTTCTTGTCCCTTTCTTCCCTCCCCCCTCCCTTGTTCACTTCTCATTTGAACATTTTCTTCCCATTTCCCAATATCTATCATACATTTTGGTCCCTATTTACACTTTTGCTTGCTCACACCAGAGAAACAATGTGGTATTTAAACATATGTGCCTGATTTATTTCACTTGAGTATAGTTTCAAGGTACATCTATTTAGTTACAAATGTCTCAAGTTTATTTCTCTTTAAGGCAGAGTAGTACTCCACTGTATTAAAAAAACCCACAACTTCTTTATCCATTCATCAGTTGATGGGCATTTGGGTTATTTCCAGGATTTAGCTATTACAAACTGTGCTGCTATAAACATGGGGATGCATTATTCACTGTGGTATGATGCTTTTAATTCTTTCTGGAAGATACCAAGAAGGGGAATAGCTGGGTCAAATGGAACCTCTAGTTTTAGTTTTTGGGGAATCTCCACACTGATTTCCACAGTGGTTGTACCAGTCTACACTCTCAACAGCAGTGGAGAGGGGGTTCCCTTTCCCCCACAGCCCCTCCAGCATGTGATTGGTTGATTTCTAGATGATAGCCATTCTTTTTTTTTTTTGGTACCGGTGATTGAACTCAGGACCTTCCGCTTGCAAGGCAGGTGGTGGAACCACTGAGCTAAATCCCCAGCCTGATGATAGCCATTCTTTCTGGAATAAGATGGAATCTCAGTGTTGTTTAATTTGCATCTCTCAAATGACCAGTAATGTTGAACATTTTTTTCATTTGCAGTTTGTACTCTTCATCTAGGAAGTGTCTATTCATTTCAGATGCCTATTTTTGGATTGGGTCTTTAAATTGGAGGGGGTGGGGTCTGGTTTTTTTTATGTCTTTATATATTCCAGATATTAGTCCTTTGTCTGAGGAACTTCTGGCAAAAATTTTTCCCATTCTGTGGGTTGTCTCTTCACTCTGTTGGTGGTTTCTTCTGCTGTACAAAAGCTTTCTATTAAGATGAGATCACAGTTGTTTCCTGTAATATTTCCTATGCGATTGGGTTTCATTCATGACATCTTTGCCTACACCAATGTCAAGAGTTCTACATATTCTATCTTCAAGCAGATTTAGTGTTTTTGTTTTAATATTTAGATCTTTTGATCCATTTTGATTTTAGTTTGGTGCATGGTGAAAGATATGGGTCTAGTTTTAATCTTCAGCATGTGGAAAGCCAGTTTTTCCAGCACCATTTATTAAAGAGGCTATCTTTCTTCCAGTGAAGGTTTTGGGCTCCTTTGCCAAAGATAAGGTGGCTGAGTGTGTTTGGAGTTATTTCTGCATCTTCTAATATGTCTCACTAATCCTTGGGTCTGTTATTTTGCCAGTACCATGTCCTTTTTTTTTTTTTTTTTTTTTAGGGCTAGTGAAGTGAAGCCGCGGGAGTGGAGAAGGAACAAAGAAATCTGTAACTGGTTGTGATCAATTAGTTGTAAACACCACTGCACTCAGACCAGCCTACCATGCTCTTTTTATCACAGTAGCTTTGTAGTATAATTTCAAGTCAGGGATTGTGATGCTCCCTGGGCCTTGTCTTTGTTACCTAGAATTGCTTTTGATAATCTAGGTCTCTTCTGGTTCCAAATGAATTTTAGGATTTTTTTCTTCTAATTCTGTGAGTATTGGTATTTTGATTAAGGTTGCATTAAATCTGTATAACAATTTTGTAAGTATGGCCATTTTCACTATACTGGTTCTTCCTATCAAAGAACAAGGGCTATCTTTTCATTTTCTGGTATCTTCTTTGATCTCCTTTTTCAGAGCAATGCAGTTTTCAATGTAAAGGTCTTTTCTTCCTTCCTCAGACTCCTAGGTATTTCATTTTTTGGGGATGCTATTGTAAAAGGTGTTGGTTCCCTAATTTCTCAGTGAGTTTGTTATTTGTGAACAGGAATACTACTGATTTCTGAGTGTTGACTTTTTATCCAGCTACATGACTGAATTTGGTTACTAAATCTAGAAGTCTTTTGGTGGAGATTTTGGGGTCTTCCATCTGCAAATAAAGATAATTTAACTTTTTCCTTTCCTAGCCTTATTCATTTTCTTTTTCTTTTTTTTTTTTTGGTACCAGGGATCGAACTCGGGTCCTTGTGCTTGAACAGCAGGCAGCGAAACCACTGAGCCAAATCCCCGGCCCTCCTTTTCTTTCTCTTGTCTAATTGCTCTCGCTAATGTTTCCAGAACTACATTGAGTAAGAGTGGTGATAGTGGGCATCCCTGTTTTGTTCCTGATATCAGGGTAAAAGCTTTCAGTTTTTGTCCATTTAGTATGATGTTGGCTGTTGGTCTGTCATAGATGGCTTTTATTAGGTTGAGATAAAGACCATCTATTCTAATTTTCATGAATGAGTGTTGGACTTGTCAAATGCTTTTTCTGCATCTATTGAGATAATCACATTGTTTTTTGTCCTTGCTTCTGTTAATATGGTATATTACATTTATTGATTTGTGTATGCTGAGCCATCCATCCCTGAATCCCTGAGATGAATCCTACCTGGTCATGGAGTATAATCTCGATGATTTGCTGCATTCTGTTTGCTAGTATCTTACAGAGGATTTTTGTATCTATGTTCATTAGGGAGATTGGCCTGTAGTTCTTTTTTTGTTGGATTTTTCTCT